ATGTTAGCGAGACAATCTGATTTCCGAATTCGTAGACAACAATAGAAAATCTTAGATAATGCTAATTAGGCCACGGTTTGAAATTGGTTAATGTATGTTGCAACATTACACGTGTATGGAATTTGACAACAAACAAATAAAGACTATATCCTTGTCCTTATTTTGTTTCCTACGAGTATCGTGCGTAATCGTGATAGCGTATCTAGTAGCTTATCGAATTAATGCAATACCATTGTGATAAACAAAGATTTCTTCGTGTAATCAAACCTAGACGGCCTATAGGTTAAAGATACCAAACGTTTTCTAACGCGTCAAAATATTACGCATCTTTTATTCTCGAAATTACAAAGTTGAATCGAACACGACAGTTTGGCGCGTAAAAATGACATGACCCATTTTTTACGACAGAGACAAACTGACTGGCCAGTTAGATTGGAACGTAAAAAAAGGTTGTTTATGATATTGAGGTTCGACCATGAGTAGTATTAGCGTCTAGTCGAGGCTGCACGTACATGCATCAAGGTCGAAAAACAAACTTGCAACAAAACTTTCGGGACGACTAATTCTGGTTATGAAATGAGGATGCTCTTACCGTTAGCGGAATAAAGTAGGAAATTTTGAGTTATTATATAACGTGTTTCCTGGAAGGAAACTTCATAATATGTTATTAATAAACACATATATGGTTGAAAAGCACCTGAATAATTGCAATTACTTCACAATAATTACTGATTTATATGAAAATTAAATCGGTTTCATAGCCCTCTTATTCCTTAGTCTTTGACAAAATAGACGACATTTCCGGACTTTATGGCCGGTGACCGGTGAGTGAATGAGCTAGTGAGCTGAAGAACGAGACGCATCGCGCCCTTCGCTCGCTCACTGACCCAGATAATGCGCACGATAGCCCGGTAACGGATCTATTTCAATGCGCTTCCACAGCTTCCACGTTCCGAAACTGTTTTGAAATTGGAACAGATAGTTTTACACAATATGCGAAATTCACTTCAAATGTTACCTTTTATTTTATTCTATCAACTTTCCCTACACATTTAGACATCATTGTGTATACAATGCAAATATGTTTAATTCCGATAAATAACTCAACTCTATTACACAGATACACATTGAAGCAGTTTAGAGATCTATTTTTCGTGATTTTGCCAAATTTACTTCTGCACAGAGTTGAAGCTTATAAGGTCGAGGGTTACATAGATACATATAGTACATAGCGTAGAATGTAACCGTTAAGAAAGATCACCCGTGCTCCAAGCTTAAGCACGTTTTGTAATATTGATTGAGATTTCGTGTGTACTCGCGAAACGGCCTCTCCTGACGTGACTCAACGTTGCGTAACTCTCCATAACACATTTACATAAACAAGTGCCACCGCTTATTTTAATCGATAACTTTTGTATACTTATATTACAAAAATTCAAAATATCGTTATATCGAAAATGATTTTAATTCCATTTCCGCCTCCTGTTTCGGCCAAATCAATGGCCACGCCAATACCACCGCTAATTAGCAAACGCAAAGATAATATGATAAAATTTGAGTTAAACAAAAAGAAATGTTTCCTAATTGAATGAAATCACATTTTTTGCCTGCTTTGCATTTAGATAATTTGTCAATTGTTTCCACTATATGCCATAAAAACAATTGACGTTAACGGATAAAAATATTTCAATTTTAAACAGAAGTTAATGAAACATATCACTAACATACTGCGAGCGATGCAAGTCAGTTATTAAAGTGCAAGATAAACGTGTTATCAGCGTAATCGCATCGGTTTCCATTTCTCAACGCTACTTTCTTTCGTTTCCCGCGCGGGGGAAAGTGTCCGCGCTTTTCCGACGCCATCTTTGATGCACATAGCTTCCATAGATAACATAAAGAAATAGAGATATTTTTTAACGTTTACTGCCATAGAAAATGAAAGGATGTCCTTGCGTGTTAATAATAAATACTGCCAGTTTCGGTGGTACGCCATTATTAAACAAAGTTTGTGTTAATATTTTAAATTGCCGTAATTTTTTGCGTATATCTTTAATAATAGAATAAATTTGGGTGTTAAATATTTATTTTTGTATGTTTTATTTTTAATGTTATCAGAGAAGTTATTATTCTTTATAAATACCACTGAAGACGTTATCCGTGCGATTAATTGGACCATTTTTTACATGAGTGTGTGGGTGTCAATGTAAACATTTGACAATTGTCACAAACTGCACTTACAATATATTTTTAGATACGATTCGCACGTTTATACGAACAAAAGGCATTTAGGGAGCTTTGCCGTTTTATTTATAATTGTATTATATTAAAATAATAAAAATATTTTGTTTCTTCATTTTTTAACTGTTGTAGCTTATGCATACCTACAGATAAATAAACAAGCCTTGTTAAGTACTTTTACACATAAAAAATCGTAAACATGACAAATTTGTAATTAATGACTACAGATTAAATATGCTCGGTATGTGCCAATTTACAAAGATCTCTTCAAACATGTTCCAAGTTCCATGTATTGGTTGTCGATTATTATTACCAAATAACCAATTAAAGAAGACCTCCTTACAGTTACTAAATATAGATGAAGAGGTGTCTGCTACTGGTCGTTGTTTGAAATAGCTAAAGACTTCCCGGATGTACGGCTGACGTCAAGCATCTCGCAAGATTTCCCGAAACGGATTATTGCAAATTGAACTTATTATAATTTTCTTAAAGTGCAAATTCGCTTGAAGTAATTTCCCCGACTGCGATTTCCTTTGCACGCTAACTCCTTTAATGAATCAGATGGACGTTGAAAAGACTACAATTGATTTTAATATTTTTTACTCATTTAATGCACTTAAAATGGAGTTTCTGATAACTTTGCGTATATACGAGATGTATGTTGATCTCTAAAATACCAAAATAACGATAATCATAGACACGTGAGCGCTTAATCTACTAAAGTGACGTCAATACATACTTAAAAGTTTTATGCTTACAAATAATATTTTTATTATAATAAACAATTAAAAAATGAGGCATCTCTTTATGAATTTACCTGTATATATTCATATTACCAAGAATATATACTTAAATTCATACATTTTAGGCATTCAAATCATAATTAATTCGTAATTCATAGTAAATTAAGTCAACTACTACAACCCATAATATTCCCTCACGATTGCTCTACCACGAGTTAAATTTTTTGCTTTGTAGAATTTAATTTATGAATATATAAGTTTAAAAGTATATGTAACCAATTTTGTCACTGACTGCGCACTAATTCCTTCGTAATTTTATATTAAATCCCTTTTATAAATACACCGTTTTTGTGCCAAAATGTTCCGTCATTGTCAACATGAACTCACAAAAAAGTATAAAGTCTCATATAATTTAAAAATTCTTTAAACAACACATCGTTCAATTTCCATTCATGTTCATCGAATAGATAAAAGATATATATGTCCTACACGCCAGACGTTTACATATAAAAAGTTTCTTACAGTAACGCGAACGTTGCACCTAAAGCAACAATACTAATATAATAGCACCCCTTTTCGTGCATTCACCCTGAAGGGGGAAGCTTACTTATGCAACTGAAAAGTAAAAGTGTTTTCGGGTGGTTTGGGCGGCTTCCCAGGGCGGGCGCAAAACAATACCCTATGCATAGCGTTGTTAAATGTAAATTTTGTTGAAGTTTGAAGGTTTAATTATGACAAAATAAATTAGGACTATTTGAATAAATACGTTCGTTTTTAAACGACTAAACTAAACCACTTTCAAATCACGAGGTAATCAGAAAATATCTCCAAGTGTATTAATATCTTCATAATATTAATTATTTATTCTGATATTATAACTTAATCCGTCAATTCATGTTAATTATTAAAATTCCTATTGTAACCCGCTGTAAATTTCCTTCAAAAACACATTTCAGTGCCGGAAGGCAAGAGGGGGTGGGGGGGTGGAAATGGGGGGCACCGGATACTGAATAATTCAGACACAGTCCTTTCGATGTTGGGTCGATGCACTTATAGTTTCATAAACAACATTAGCATTTTGTTTCATATTTTTCTCAGAAAGGAAAAGTCGGGTTAAAGACCCCATAAAGGATGGATGAAACTTTTAATAAAATTAATTGAAAACTTTGCAACACTTTTACATGTCGGGTTAGGTTCGGTCATGCAAAGCAATTCATTCACATGAGAACTTTCATAGTGTATTTAATATGTAATACTTGTACCACTTGTCTTTGAAACCTATCTATATGAATTTTAGCTTCATATACTAATAATGATACTGCCACCGCGGAATATTCACCAATTAATACTATATTTATTTAATACAATAGCATGTACTTGTTCAATAAAAGTTACATTGCCTGTTAACGACACCAGAGCCTTAACTAAGAATTCTTGAAAGTATAAAGTTTCTGTAAACATAATTTATACAGCGTTTGATCTTTTAAAAACTGTCAAGGGACAAAGACCTGATGGAAAATTTTAATCATATTTAACCAATTCGACTTAGGGTCCAGAGCGTTCCAATTGTTAAAAGGCCGGCAACGCACTGCCCCTATGGCATTGAGAGTGTGCGGTATCACTTAACATCAGGTGAGCCTCCTGCCCGTTTGCCCCCTGTTTTATAAAAAAGCGAATATTAGACATCATTCAATACAGTTACGTAAATTTAAATCTCCAATTCTGTATGTGAATGAGTAAAAATATTCATCGTTAATATTATTTTTTTAAAATGTGAAGGAAAGGAAATCCAAGTGAATTCCTATTTATTTCTCTCATCTATCTTCTGAATTTGTTCGTTTCTAGAACTAAATAACGAAAGCTTAAAAGCTTTACTAGACCTCTTTGCTCCACCACCATCTATAGTCGTTCAGGTGGCATCAGATGCCATAAAACCCGCTGCACAATTGCACCTTCCCTTTTTACGTCTAGACACTTCGACCACAGCGAAAGGGATAGTTCGTCTCACTCCCACACCACATGCGCAGTGCTACAGGTGGGTGTGGGGGTATCTCCCTAGTACCGGGAGATACGGGGGCAACTGGGGGTCGCCGGGTCCCATGGGGGGAGCAAGGTCGCCGCACGGAAACGTCTGGCGGAGATGATACATTATTGTATCGATCCGACATCTGAATATTTTCAAGGTTCTTTGTTTTAATTAAAACGTTCACAACAATTTTGATGTTTATAATTTATTATTATTGGAAATTTACCTCTGCCCGTACAAAATTCGAAGATCACACTTAAATTAGTTTTTTAAACGTTAAAACGGGTTGCATTGCATTTAAAAAAAATGTATATTATCATGATCATATTAGGGTTTTATTAATTTATTAAAGGCCGGCAACGCACTCGCTAGCCCTCTGGTATTGAAAGTGTTAATGGGCGGCGGTATCACTTAACATCAGATGAGCCTACTGTCCGTTTGCCCCCTGTTCTTTAAAAATTAAAAAAAAAAACAATTGTTAGACAGTGTCATCAATCATCATACATTAATATACATTTACGTAAATTTAAAACTCCAATTCTATATGTGAAAAAGTTATAATAAATATTTAAAAAAAATATTAATTTAATTTGCTCCTCTTACTATACTATATATCATTTAAAAAAAATATAAAAAAAACAATTCATTAATTTCACTAAATTTTCTAGTATAAATAGTGGTAAATAGTGCCTGAAATAATGGTAAATATATTCAAACCTCCGAAACCTTAAACCAAGTAAGTTGCTATAAATATATAAACGGTGCTTACAACATAATATACGATATATCACAGACCTCATATGTCACCAAACTATTTAATTTCTGCCCTTTCTTTTTACGTAACATACTATATAACATTTTATGTTTCGTTACAATACAAAATCAATATAGTCGTCTAATACCTGTAATACTTGATTATATACGATGTGCAGACATCTTAACTACCCAGACAGCTCCATGGAGACTGTAATTTCAGTTAGCTAGAAATATAACCGCTTTTGGCTTCAATATACATAAGTTATGTATGACTTGTTTTGGCTTCTTGTACTAACTGCATATCGACGTAGGAAAGCATATTTGCTGTAAGTAGACAAAATACCTAAAGTGACTTTTTCCTGCCATTAGAATCAGAAAAAAAAGCCGCATCGAATGACCTGGGTCCTGTGTCTCTACGATGAAAAAAAAATTACATACGCCGTTGAAAACGCCCGTACTTATATTATTTTTAGCAAGATTAAATGCTGTATGTAGACCAAAATCTAGTCATTTCAGACATTTCGCACTTACAGCAAAAGAAAATCTGCATTTTTTTCTTTACAAATACTTACTTCTTCCTATTTAAAAACTTAACGCTACTTACAGCATTTCAGCGGCGTGTGATTTTTACATTCGTTTACTTACAGCAAGTTTAGGGAACCTACAGTTTTGGTTTTTTTTTACCATTTACGACATTTTATTTCAACCAAACATTACATTACCAAATGACCCACTGCATTTCTAGATCTAATCATAATTATAAACTAATCTTACATCTTGAATTGCAATTAAAAGTACCCAAATACATAAATTTCCTGCATACAGCATATTTACCGCCTGTAAATTGATAATATTTCCGCGCGTACATTTTTCTTCCTTAGTTACAGCGTTTTAAAGGTTTGTGATTTAAAAAACTGTTTGCTGTAACTAGCCAAACACGTACTTATAGTAACTTTGGATAAAAAGTTTACATTGCAAATGGTGACTGGTAGTTAAATAAATATATGTTTCAAAAATGGTAGCAATATCATGGATAGGTCAGACACTATTAATTTTTTTCCGAAATTAATAAAGTTTTTTGGCTCTGGTGAACAATTGCAATATGTGTACTTACAGCAAATGTGCTTTCCTACGTCGATATGTAATATCAATCATTTATAGCTTTGAGGTATTATACTGTATCTTAATTTTAAAAAAAAATCCCTTCATAGTAGCTTATCATTTAAAAAAATCAAACACTACTACACGCTATATTCTTTGAACGAGTTATTATCTATATATATGTCTATTAAGTATGAGGGTATGCAATTATTTAATCAATTACCGTCTATAATTCGTAATATAAGCGCGTTTAACCAATTCAAAAGGGCATTAAAGATACATATCAGAATGAGCCTAGTAGACTAAAATTTGGACGGCTACGACGACGTGTATATATTAAGTTTTTCATGTAAATAAACATTACAATATTTTTTAATTATTCATTATGAATATTTAATATTATAAAGAGAAATAGAGCACGCTGAGACCCCTAGTGGTTACGTGCGACTCATCACTGAGCTCGTAGGTTCGACTACCTTCTTCAACGCTCAATATTTAATAAATAATCACCTACTTGTGTAAAAAAATCATGTCATATTTATTTTTCGGAACTGGCTTAAAGCCTCTATATATTGCGTAAGTAATATATCTTATCTCCAAGCATGTGTTAAAATAATTGCGACCGCTTGCAGAATTGGCTATTACAACACACGAGTCAGCGTAACAGTTATCGGTGAAATGTCTCAATCGATATGGGCTTTATCTAAGCTGTTTCTATGTCGATAACGTGTTAATTAATTAAATAACGATTAACCTTAATATACTTAAGCTTAGCGTATACACAGGTATCGTCCCTGGTAAAAGATCAGTTGTTTACGGTCCAGAAGTGACTGAGTTTGATTCTATGGCTGCTCTGTATACAAATATTGTTTTGAAATAAAGTCAAAACAACAACTCTGTACTATCCAAGTCTGTAAATTTTGCTCAGTTGGACTTTCTTAGTTTTATAAGTGTGACGATTTCCTAAATCGTCGGAGTTACGCCCCGGGAGTGTAGCCCGACCCAGGTACTCTCTTCAACTCTTACAATGCATTTATTCGTTACATAGCAATTAACATTTTATTCGCTATATTCTATTGTGGTACGCGAGTGGTTAATTTAGAGTAAAAATAAAATTCTCTATTATCTTAAGCACCCCGACCGTACAAACTCAATACAACATTTTAAATAGACTATATTATCGCTTAATTATAGATATATGAAACAATTTTTTAATAGAAAGTTAGAGACAAAATACAATGTTTTTGAAAAGATGCTTACTGAGGGTTCCTTTGAAAGCTTGTACACAACAGTAATTTCAAAAGAGAGCTTAAGGAAAATCTTGCTCAATTAGTTTTTATAGCCCTACAAGGATAACGTTACACGTGTATTTTATAAAATTCTAACAATATGTGTTGTTCCAGTGGATGGCGAGCCTACGGGTCTGACACTGGGTGCCCGCGGCTCCCTGGGCCGGGCGCTGCTACATGGTCTCTTGGCGCCCGCCTCCGCGCCCAGACACCACTTGTACACCGCGCCCAATACTGGTAAGTTTGTACATGAATATACGAGTATGTGCCCCACATTTACCCTTATTCAATAGCATATAAATAAAGTAGCGAACGCCTTATAAACTGATTTTGGACTAATACAAGATTGATTTTACAATTGAACCCAATTGATGTATAGAAAATAAATCTCTATATAAAATTCTCGTGTCACAATGTTCGTTCCCATACTCCTTCGAAACGGCTCGACCAATTCTTCTGAAATTGTTTATGCCTATTCAGTAAGTCTGAGAATCAGCTACTCTCTATCTTTCAAACCCCTAAGTGATAAGGGGTGTCCATAGACAGCGATAAAAATTCACAGAAAAAAACTAAAAAAAAATTAATTAAAGAAAATCTGATAGTCTCCGGGGTAGCATAGCAAAATGTTCCATCATGGAAGGTTATAGGAAGTAGGCTGAGTAAAATCACATTAAGGAGAAACGAAATTCGCGGGGGCAGCTAGTGATTTAAAAAAATTTAAATGAAGAGTGATCTCGCATATAAAGTATAAACAAATAATAAAAATACTAGACTTTTTTATAACAAAATTTGAGTTTTTCGTACTTAACTTCGGTAATTTTGATATTCAATGAATAGACAATATGCGAATTAAAATTAAGGTACCCGGTCTGAATAGTTCCGGCTGAAACGGAAATTGCCCAACAAACGTTCTGACAACCTATAGTATATCAAATATCGTTTTCGTTAACGATAAAGACAGTAATTTCCGTTGTTATTTACATCCTTTTTCTGTACTTATAATCTTTTTCTCTTGTTAAAAATATTATCGTATTAAGAAGCTATGACAAAACTTTGCGCCTAAATTAAATAAAAAAGGTTTACACATATTAATAATTTCTTCTAAGTAAACATTACTAAGAACCCATAAAATACTTTATATAAATACCGTATAATTACGTAAAACACTTAACCCATTGTAGAAATTCGTGACCTCAATCGGCAGGAAGCGTCACAACAACTTGGTAGCATGAAAAATTCATAAAGAACGACGAGGAAGTCAAATCGATACCCTCAGCTGATCCTGGCAATGTCACGACCGAGACCCTCCCAGCCCTCCTCCCCTACGCACACACGCAACACTGTGCGTACTTGCGTCCGTGTGCGCGCGTCTACCCCGCGTCTGAGCTTTGAAATATGAGCTTTACTGTTAATAACAAAAATATTCATTATTCGAAAAACTAATTTGTTTCTGAAATGTTTTACCTTGGTTTGGTTTATTATTAAACTGAAGCGAAAATACGTCGAAGCTAATTTATTATCTGAAAATTATTTTTTGTTTACGATCCGAAAATATTAAAAAAAAGTTCAAGATTAAAATTTCTTCCAAATTCAAATAGATCTATTCACTTATGAAGCTTACTGACTTCAAACAGAGTTTATGTAACACGCAATGTGGGTATATACATTTATTTACACTATTATATAATCCCCTATGTTGACATAATCGGAATGGATGCAAGGGTGTCAGCAAATATTATTTGACACTTCTAACCCTTCAACGGCTGTCGGTCGCAGATGTCCAGACAATGGTCCATTACCCAAAATGTGCAATTTCATAATCACTTGCGACCCCGTGCGCGGGTGGATTTAGGATTGAAGGGTTAATTATTTACATTGTCCTGATATGACAGTTTGATTTATTGCAATATAGCTTAATATATTCTTATTGAATTATTTGGTGTTCGATATTAAAGCAGTTAATGACTGGTCAAGTGAATAACAGGCTGAGAAACGTACCATACATTTTTGATGTACGGGAATCAGACTTACAGAAGTCTCGATTTTTGAATCTTATACTAAATAAGGTAAAGTTACAATTAGTTGTTCTTATAAGTAGTTCTCCATACTTGTCTATATATAGATACAAAAGTATATTGTAACGAATATTATTGCTTTTCCAAATATACTTATACAAAAATATATGAACTTTTCATATTGATAAATGTCTGATTTCTTCAAATTTGTCCCCCAGTGTTACGTAATTCTGAAGTAATTCTCATTGTCCTATATTCTCGAACGCGTTCATTAGACAGCTTGCGTTATTTCTCCAAACACACCCAGCAATATAATCTAAGTACATGTTAAACTTTGCCATATCAAAACTAGTCTCACACATGCTCGGTTATCGCCGGATCTTACTTACGCTACTAAATTAACTTAAAAGTTGTTCAAATCTGGGTTACGAGTCAATCGACATAATCGCTTTACACAGAACCTATATTGTGCAAAAACGAACACATTTAACCCGAAAATGTCGGCTTTACAAAGGCAACCCTTATCCACTGCCTGCCTGAGCCCAAACATGCAATCCTATCCAAACAATTGACGCAGCTTGCACATATTGCGCGCGCACATTTGCAAAACCCTGTTTTTATGGAAAAATGGGTTATACACCTTGCGATGAATTGTCACGTCATCTCCTGATAATAGGCGATAATCTCTCTTACAACCGTCTCTTTTTTCTTTTGAATAAGCCTCGACTGCTTTCCGGAGCGACTGACAATTTGAAATTAGAATGTCACGCGTGGGTGAGCAAGCGCAACCCATTGTCGGTTCTTGTACACATTTTGCAATGAATGAATTATTCAATTTATGGCTGCGTCAAAAAAATCCGAGTATGATTTTGTGAAATTAAATATTTTATCTAAATCTAGTTTCAATCTTGACCAGCAGTTATGCGGGATCACAGAAATTTCCATAAAGGACATAAATGACAAAAGGCGAACGTTAGGGTGTGAAGGGGTCAGCATTGAAGATAGGACTACAATTCAACTAGTGATTTGTGGCTGGCACTTTTTACGTATTTAGTTCGCATATTCTGTAACCTCTGTTTACTTGAACATGACTCTATTAAAATTAATGATACAATAAAATATTACGTGAGTCGTAAATACGTTAAAGAACAATTCAATTATCGTAACTGTTGTGTTTAATCGCAAACAATAAGTCTTGCAGTTATTAAAAATAAATCACTTCTAAATAAGCAATCTATATTATAAAGAATCATAAACAATCTTAATTTTTCCTTAACGAGTGTGACGTGCTTTGTTTTTCTTAATAATAATCAAATATACAGTATCATAACCTACATAGTATAATAAAAATAATTAAAAAACGAAAATTACAAAAAATAAAAAGTTTGGTCCCTGTGACAGTGTACCTTTAACACTGGCAGCACTTCCTCGCTGTATTGCGACACTTATTCGTTGAGCGTTGAAAGCACCAGCTCTGGGGTCACCGGTACTATCTATCTATTGTTTTTCCTTAATAAATTGCAGAATTTTTAGTTAGAATATAGTACGCAAATAAAACTAAATAACGGCTCAATTTATTCAAGTAATAATTCATAATTGTAAAGGATATACATTCATCTGACTGAGATCATACAAAGACGTTTATGTAACAGCTTATGTACACCGCATGATTATTCATATGCAAAAATTATTCTAAGTCTCCATTCGCACGGATTATGGTCTAACGCCGTGTCGGACAATGCCGATGGACAGCGGTCACTCCATAAAGATGGTCCGATTAAGGAAGGGTTGTTTTGTCTTGTATTGTAATATTTTCCTAATAGGACCGCATTCCTCTCTAACCGGTAGACGGATAGAAGGGGCCCAAGCGATCATTATTTATAGTTAATTTATTATTATTTTGATACGGGAGATGAAAGGGTTGACACAATGGGCCGGTTCCGCGTTCCGGCCGTTGGCCGTTCATGTGTGGACTGGACAGTGGACATTTCCACGGTTAAGGGTTGATTCAAGGATTTTTTATTAATCAAGGACTTTCAAAAATAAAATCTTCGTAAACAAACATCGGTTAATTTCCAAACGCGGTACGAACTTCCAAAAAATAACGTTCTATATCCAACCTATTAAAAGATTAAAAAATACAATATAAAAACACATTGTGAACACAAATTGATACTCAAAGCGAAATTAAATAGCAAACACTGTTTTTCATTCATCTAAAATTGTATCAATGCCGCCAACTGCGAGCAGAAGGATTAAAAACACTACACAATACAACTCGTATTATGATTATAGAGCAACACTATTCTTTTGAAATGGTCAAAACTGACCCACGGCGCTTCCCGGTTCCCATAGCGCTTTGAAGGGTTAACAATGGGTGAAAAGGGTGTGGACAGCAGCTCCGGTCAAATGGTCAATACGAGCATAGACTCAATGGTCAAGGAAACGAATGAATGCGCTTTCTTTGACCTAGCCGATGATTATATTATTTAAATACGACGGTTACTCGTCAAAGTTTTACGACCATGAGAAAATAAGCGTGTTTTTTTATACAAATGTAATTTAATATTCAACGTTTGATCGTGTCAAATGAATTAAGAATAAAAGGTCTAGTCCCCGAACTATTTAAAAAAATTACCTCACGTATCGTAAAATATTTTTAAGTAATTATATAAAATTATATTTTTAGGATTAGTAGACTTTACAGGAATTACAATCTAGCCTATACAATAATTATGGCTAATAAGTAATATTGTGTTGACTTAATTTTCTACAATACTAGTAAATAGCCTTAAACTAAGGTAATTTTCATTAATGTTTTGACACTATGTTTGTGTGACCGAGATACACTTGCACTTCTATTCACAACACTAGGTTTATCAAAAGGTTTAGTTCTCTTTAGGCGTCTTATTTCTGTTGTGTCAAGAACTTGGATTGCCTCACCATAATTAACATTAGTAACATAAATTTGCATTTACTAATATATTCTCAGTATAAGAATAACTGAAAAATCCATATTCATACACACAACAAAGTAAACACCGAAATGCATTGAGATGCAAAAAATGCAACCCTATTTCACCCCTAAACGACCTATCTGCATAATGCTAAATTAAAACTACACTACCTTTTGCATAACAATGCCGTTTGACCAGCAAATTCTCACACAAAACAAGTTGGATGCAAGTGCATCTTCTGGTCAAACTGACCGGCATCTAAGGGTTACGCAAATTAATGCAAGGACCGTTAGATTTTTATACGTTAGATAAAAGCATTTTAAGATTTATATAGCTAACGGTTTTTATTAATATGCAAAATAGAATCGCAGACATCTCTGAGAAAACTCAACAGTTTTATTTTATTTATTCTTAATAATGAGTGCTATGTAAAATCGTAAAGTAGTACTAATTTGGGCAAGAAGAACTAACATTAGAAAATAATGGAAGCAGCTGAAAGAGGCCTATGTCAGGACACGCTGATAACGAAAACCGGCTCATATGATGTATTAGTTTTTTTTTTTATGATTGGACAATTCAAACCAACTAGGCAACGGATATACATACATATTATAGATAGATAGACATATAAATACATATTTAAACACCCAAGACCTAAGCACAACACCAAATGCTCATCACATCGATGTTCGTCTCAGCCGGGGATCGAACCCGGGACCCATGGATTCGCAGTCAGGGGCACTAACCACTAGACCAATGAGCCGTCATTAAGTTATGTTATGTAACTACATAACTACTAAATAAGTGTTTATATATATTATATTAGGTGTTAGAAATAAAGGCTCAATAATAATAATGTAAAATAGTATGCACTAAAACTATATTAAAAGTCCTAAGGAATTTGAAGAAATATTTAATTTAGTGTAGCCCTTCAGGAACGAAAGTGGTGTTTTGGTGTTTTCTGTACTTTAAGTTTATTTATAATATTAAAGCAATAATAAAAAAAACGTTTAATAAGGTTTACAGTTTACGATAGAAGTAAACACTTATAATTTTAAAATTTTGCATAAATTCTAGACATGATTCTAAGCAAGCACTATTTTTAGGTTCCCTACCACCATCTCCAGCTGACAGTGGAGTATCAGACGTGGAGTCGTCCTCATCAGGCGCGGGTTCCGCCGAAGAGCTGAAGGCGCGTCTGCAGCCGCCACCTCCAGCGCCCTTCCACACGCCCTTCCTGCCCTTCTACCAGCAGCATCAGATCACCAGTTCTCTACAGCATCATGTTGCACACCCTAGACCTCCAGGTGAGTACTTTTTATTTGGATTATATATGATGTTCCATCTAGGACAATTCGAAGCTAATAGGTAATCTGAATGAATAAAGGTGAGCTAAAAATTGGATATGGGTAGCATTCTTTTAAACAAATACTCTTATTTGCTGAGTACTTTTTATTAGGATTATATATGATGTTCCATCTAGGACAATTCGAAGCTAATAGGTAATCTGAATGAATAAAGGTGAGCTAAAAATTGGATATGGGTAGCATTCTTTTAAACAAATAAGAGTATTTGTTTAAAAGAATGCTATAGAGATAAGGTGTTGCAAATTACTATTAGATTTTGATTGCCCTAAATGAAATAATTTCTGAAATATTGCTTACAAGGTAATAAAGTTAGTTAAAGGGATTCAATATGAAGCCGAAGTTTACGTAAAAATTTGCATAATTAAATAATATTAAATTTAATAAACGTCTTAATTATTCGGTCGACATTGACATTAAAAAAAGGTGTACAAAGCGATTGTTCATAAGGTGACCGTGGGTGAACGGCCGCACCCGGAAGGTCACCTTTGGTTGCGCCTGCGCAGCTCCCGGGATTTGCATGCCGCGATACAATTTAGAAAAGTGCGCTACTTTCACACATTATATCTAGATCTTTATTCAGCCATATACCTGGAGTCAACGCAAAATTATACCTGACTGTGATATGTCCTTTAATAATCAGTGGTGCTACAACCTTTTTAGGTATGGGCCTTAGATTTCTGAATCTGTTTCATGATCATTTGTCATTCTAATAGGCTAGTAGGTGATCAGCCTCCTGTGCCTGTCACATGCCGTCGAATTTTTGGGTCTAAGGCAAGCCGGTTTCCTCACGATGTTTTTCTTCACCGTTCGAGGGAATGGTAAATGCGCTCAAAGAAAGCCCATTGGGGCACGGAAATCGAACCTACGACCTCGGATGAGAGTCGCACGCTGAATCCACTAGACCAACATTGCTCTGTCTTTTTTCAGTGTTATCTAAAAGCGGGTAGGGTTTTCGATAACGATTTTTTTAAGTTCCATCTGTCACAACAACTGTTTTCTGAAAAGTGTGTATGTTCGTATGTACATCTTCTCCACCGCAAGACTTCTCAATCATTTAAAACCAATAATGGTATTTTTTATTTAAATAAATATACGTTCAATTGCCAAAATGATAAATCCTTATCCAATTACAACCAACAAATGATTCCCCGAAGTATCAGATAGTATTTTTTTGGAAATCTGTCACATCCTTCCGGCGTTGCCTGGCTGATATCCAGTTGGCCACGACGATTCAATAAAACTCACAAATTATGCTATCGCTAACCCATGTTTTACATTAAATGGTAATTCTTTATGTCAAATTGAAAACATCATTTGGTTCTTGAATTTTATGTGTTTTCTAGAAGCTTTAAAAGCTTGTTTACTTGTAAGCTTGGATGGGAAAAGGGAAGGTAAAATATTAGCTATTCTTATTAGAAATACCTGAATTTTATTTTTAAACGTTTTCAATGTTATACGATTTTCAACTGCATATTTTATAACAGATATTTAATTACTTAGCTAGGACGGTCAAACGATAAACCAAAGTTAACAAATTAGGCATTTTTCATAGCAAAAAAGTACTATGAAAAAAATATATAGCGAATTTTATGTATAACTATTAAATATAAAACAGCATGTAGTCAATATGACCAGAAAACATCTACATTGCAGTTACTATTTAAACAATATAAAAATAGCATTAACCATCTCATTATAAATAATATAGATGGATTAAGGAAATTTTATAAACAATCGTCCGGACGTCCCTGTCGACGACGCAAAACGAAAAACAGTCACGGAATTTTTATGTTGTGTGTTGTCGATGTTTTCAAATGTTATCGATAAATATTATCTTGAAAAATCGGTTTCGATTGTGTAAATCAATAATTTTTGCACTTATATCGTAAAAATAAAACTGGTGAAAAAAAAATTGAATGGTGAAATCGGGTTGGGAAGGCAAGATGCATGGTCAGTGTCATGAAAGTGGATGAAGCGAGAGAGGTATGTCAGGATCGTAGCAAGAGAAGATACGTTGTCTCTGCCTACCTCTTCGGTAAAAAGGCGTGATAAATAAAAAAAAACACATATGGAATAGGACTAAATTGTGTGTGAGTAATACTTTAGCTTAAAAACCGAGATTGCAAAATAATGTTTAAATATCCGTTTTCTCTTACCCTCTGCGCCACACTTACGCAAGTATTTGTCAACACTACATTGAGAAATTGCCATAAAAATTCTCCTAACTAAAAACATCGACACTGTTTCCTCCCTACGGAACCAGTTGGTAAAACGATGCACCGTCGTTTATCGCGTCTTGGCGCGCCTGTCCTCAACTATTTGACATTGCACAAGGTCAGTGCTCCTAATATAAAGATGCAAAAAACGTACGCGCATCGCGTACTGAGTCGCCGACGCATGCGAAGTGACCACTTTCGATTGTAGCATTTAAAATACCATCAGTGAGTTCTTTGTTGGTCCTCGGGACTATTTGTATGTTTGCTAGTGCGTTTTCCTGTCTTTTATCTATGGGTTTTTACGTTGTCTATGTACTGAATTGGTAAATGGTGGCGAGGATGAGAGACAAATGGAAGAATTTGGAGAAGCCTTCACTCTACCGTAAAACATCATGTAATACTGATTATGTAGTACCTACTCGAATACAGTTTATTTTTATTTAGTTTATGTACTAGTGCTATTTAGCTTTTTGTTGAAACTACATAGTGATGCAACTATAAACACATATTAATAAACTATTTTGACGTTAAAGCCTACTTCAATAAATTCAATTATTTTTTCATTTTGCTATGGACATATCCAATAAGGTAAGGCGTAATATTTATTTCCAACACACAAATATGCAGTATTTACAATATGTTTAACCTACATAGTAATAATAATACCTTTAACGCTGGCAGCATTTTCTTGGTGTATTAGGTTTTTTTTTTTTTAACTTCAAAACGTTTACTTAACAATAAATCGCAAATACAACTCGTAATGTTCTCCCAAAAACTAGTTTCGCTAGTGCTATCAGTTGAAGGAAGTTTTAGAATAAAATAGCTATAAAAGTTACATTGACCGCAAAAATTGCCATAAAATGCGACAAGCAGATCGTCAACATAAACCGAACGTAGGAGCGAATAATAATTTATAACATCTACATAAACAGGTTGATAGACGAATATTTTGTTAAACTTCCTTGAACACGTGATAAAACATAGCTTTTACTTGGAAAATGGATATATTTATTTAATATTACAGGGAAAAAGCTTAGGCACTTTATTAAACTTATAAGTGTTTCGTATCTTTAACCTATTTAGTACATTTTTAGTCAAACACATTTAAAAGCTGTCGACAATCGCAACAAAACACACGATATGCGCGGCCTTTCAAAGATTTAGTTTACCGCCAAAACATTCAATAAACAACATTGTCGTCACACGTTCCATTGCACAAGGCAGTAGCGAGAATCAAGAAGCAACAATAGCGATCAGATAGTTCAGACATTGACCAACTGAAGCTCCGCGTGAATCGTTGCGGTAACCACATACGAAATTTTGTGTTGCAAACGGTTGCGAAACCTCGGCGCCATTGTCAGCTGGCGAAACCAGCGACCTTACTGCGATTGGGCAGTCGAAACCTGATTGTATGCCACGATTGTACGAGCTCATGTGGCGGAAACCGTACCGTACGTCATTTATTTTAATTAGGCGGAATTTTGCCAAACAATTAGTGCCGTGAATACATCGATACACATATTTTTTTCTTATAATAACGCAATAAATTATAAAAGTAATGGCTTCTCGCGACTCTCATCCCTGAGGTCGTAGGTTGGATCCCCGGCTGTGCACCAATGGACTTTCTGTCGAAATGCGCAATTGCGCTTCATATATCATATGTTGTCATTTAATGAAACCATCTTTTGGGCTTCTATACGTAATTGTATGCTTTTGGGTTTTATCAAGATGGGTTTAATCGAAGCCTTGACTTCGTTGCTCAATTCGTTAACGGACGATTTTACGTTACCAAGAGATTTGAAATTGCGTCATGTGTTTTTGAACTTTTAAAATATGGTATTTTTCAATGATGAACATCAAATATTTTTTACCAAGCAACTATTTTTAGTATTACGTTAATTTATAATACTGTTAGTACTTTTACACATTTATTAAATATTAAGTTCGTTTAATCAATATTGTAACACCAGATCTAAATGTATTCTTAAATATAATATTTTTTTAAGCCCCATAATAGACAGCGTCACCATTATAGCATTATTAGCAAACAAATAATGTTATAATGGTGACGCGTTGTTTTTCTCTGACCCGAATGTTTCACGAACATACTGAAACGAAACGTATTGTTATCAGCGCGTACGCTGCATTCATATGAGCAAACGAAATGGAAATTAAAATAAACGTTGCATTGCGTCTATTCTGCAATGTGAGCGCGTGTGCGTTTGTTTCTAATGTGTCTGTGTGCGGCGCGCAGGAGTGTGCGCGAGGTGATCGTCCCGATTCAAGGGCAGTGCAGCTAGCGCTCATATTAATAGTTGGCGACTATTTTCGCCGCGCTGATCGCTGGGGGACTGAGGCGTTATTATTGACATTCGCAACTTACATCATCACTTCTTCGTAAGCCGTTTCCTTGTTTCTTATTGGATTCCGTTTTTAACTCCTTTTCATTGTAAAGGGTTTATTCTTCTTCAGGACTGTTCCCAAGTATACTATTGAGGCTTACCATAATAATGATGTGGACGATTTTATCATTCGTGTGTTGCGATATTGTCTTTGTTTAATCTGTGGCCGTACAAGGAAGACAGTCGCGCCATCTGTCGCGCGGTGGGCTTGCGCAACACGACCCACTTCGAGCGGCCGCTGGCAAACGCCTCGACTCCTCTACAATTACATATTTCGGTGTCGCAACTCGCGTCGCATCCGAGTTGAACGGCCCGCGACCTTGTCGCTGCGCACGCGCCGCTGAAAGCGAAAGGACCGCCGAATTCGGGAACTATGGGCTTGCGAACATAAAGGTATCCTGCTTTTCTTACGAGGATAAACAAGTGTGTACGTGACATAGAAGACGTAACACCACTATCGCAAAACCGCATAGAATCGTCCGTCTGAATCACACCCACCATCAATATGAACGAAGTGCGTCACCTTGCGCCGTTTCGCACGGCTCTGCTCCCGCGCCGCGCTGTTTCGCAATGAACGCTCACCGCAGTCGCCATCTTCCTTCCGAAACATATTGTAATAACATCCAAAACGTCTAGTAAATCTTTAGTTTTATGAAGACATTACAATAATGATATAATGATTACATGACATAGATCTTTATCTCAGTCATAATGTTTCACCGACCGTAAAAATGTTAAGTTAATTGTAAATACTAGTAAAATTAAAGCAACATAAATCACGTGTCTTCAAACGAAGTGATTTATAGCCGAGCGGCATTCATACGAACTATATTTTATACAATGATATAAACGCGAAAATAAGTTTGTTTGGCCCATTTAGATGCTCAAGAATAACATCGTGATAATTACCGCTTTTGCTTGGAACAGTTTGTCTTAGAAACTGCATTGAAGTCAGGGAAGTGTGGTTATTGCGAGTGTAGGGGAGCTATGAGCCGTGAAGGACATATTCGCTTCGCCGGGAATGAGCGGATAATTTTAAACAGGCAGGAAACCAGTGGAGCGCGTATATAGGCCGCCTCGACTGCCCCCACCGATTTTATATCTATCGTAAAAGAAGTATGAGGTTTCCGGGGAAGTGGGTTGATCGAAATTGGGTCAACATGATATTCTGTTCCGAAAAACGTATACAGTTAATAATATCTTTATTCTTAAACTAGTTTATATTAAAATTATATTTTATATGTCTTACTTATAAGCTTGATAAGTCAGCACTTCAAAGCAAATAAAGTTTTAAAAGCTATTGCAAGGACAATTCGTTGATGAAAACAGTTCTTATATCAACGAATGTATCGTTTCGTCGAATCCCGTAAGGGGAATCGAGAGGATAGCAGTGAGGCTATCCTTGTGATTGTGTCTAACCAGGTCAGTGTTAGGCCGCATAGCGCTGCATAAATAGATTCCCCTCCGCCCCCCTTGTCCGCACAGCCCCGCGTCCCGCTGCACTCGGCACAGGGATGCACAGTTTTATTGCATCCGGTTTAGCGATTTCAATACAAAATATTGTTTTCAAATATTATTAGTTTTATGTGTCTATATGATTACAATATATTTTCGGCTTTATATACTTGAAAATAATATGCTGGAGTACAAGAGTCTTTTCTCCAACTTTGTTCACTTTGTCGGTTGTTCTAAAATAAAATTTAGGAGATTGAATTGATTGTAATATGCCAAAGACGCAAGCCACGGGCAGAAACTAAGTAGTTCATTATGCTTGTTTTTCAACGTCAATTTAAGGAAATATCAACCCAACAAACCGGTCGGTGTCATGGTGAATTTATTATATTGATATTTTGTTGTTAAACTCTTTTTATTAAGTATTCAATTTTAAAAAAATTGGTAAGCACGAACAGCGAAATTCTTTTAAGATTCTCTGTCTCTACAATTATGACTACATAACTTTAAAACACATTTAAATTAGATTAAAGCATGTTAAAGTATGTCTTGATTTATGAGATGTTTTCATGTATTTGACAGCCCTACAAAACAGTTTAAAATGTATATTTCGCAATATGTTTACGCGCCGTCCGCTGCCAAACCGAAGAATTCCAGCGTATAGTGGCGTTGCAAAAGCGACATCCCACTGGCCCTGGGCCGTGGGAAAATGGGACGGCTAAAATTAGAACGAAAACTGTTATAATTAATTTAAAAAGACGGCGATAGTGAGACACAAAATAATTATAAAAACAAGAATTCAAGTTGACCAATTACAATTTACAGAGGAAATCATGCTTTCGAAATAGAAAAACTAATTTATCTTTAATATCATAAGTATTTTCCTCAAGATAAGACTGTGATTCATTTATGAAATAGGAAATATCAATAAAATTATTAATTTACGGAGAACAGTAAAAGCGTTTAAGAACCATAACCAAAACCAATCATTATTGTGACAACTTGTCTTTTTGCATTGTATTACTAAGTTGTTATTGTGTTTTATTCTAGTGTGTTATTTAATTACTAATACTATTAATTACAGTATTATAAACCTCCTAAAACTCGTAAACAAAGAATAAAACCAACACAAATAGAAACATAATCAGTTATCAATTGGTAGATAATTAGTAGTATCGTTCCGGCCTGATTCCGGAGTCAGGGCCGATTGGAGCAACTTGCTGGAAATCGAACCTTGACCCTACAAATTTACTATGAACAAAGTTTACCAGACATTCTTGCACCCTTATTGGTATTGTCCTATAGGTAACATTAGACATTATTTTTATCTTTATCTATTACTTATAAGTCTCCTACATTCATTGTACCTTAATATACTTAAAAGCGGATACATTTAAATTGAACCACAATAAAACTTAGAAACTCGTAAAACGATCTAATTGCGACTCTTCATTCTCATGTAGCTCTTATTTCTTATAAGAACATCTCTTGTATGACAGTCGTCTATTTACTTTATATATATGATACTAAAACAATCAAATATATAAACTAAAAACAACTTTATTAGTGGTAAGAGGTACATCACACCGTTAATTTTCATTTCAAGCTTTTCATTTTGCTATTGTTGTTAACATAAAAGAATGACGTAATAGTTTGAAACTACTATTGAACAATGTCAGTTGCCAGAATATTCGTCCAATCATAGCATCCCGGACTGCAACAGGAAATCACTATAAAGATGAACGGAAGGCGAAAATGCCCAACATCACGCAATCTGAGCGGCTGGCTACCATTTACTATATTTAAACTGCTAATAAAATCCTCTTCCTTTGCGTTTTATATTTTTGTTGGAAGAGAAATCTTATCTAAGTGAGAAACCTCCCGCTCAGTGACCGCAAAAATAATATCCTAGTAGTATTTACTGTGAACACCAGGAACTTACGAAATACATTGATTGAATTTTTGTGAACATAATCGACAACTATTATCTAATTGGTTAAAAAGTAATACGCTCATTATTTTTTATATCAGCCACACAACAAAGCACATAATTTTAAATATTACATCGATTAAATATTAATAATACCAACTCTAAGTAAAACTTAAGCGTTAATAAAGGAACAAATATAACGCCTCTTGATTGATCCAAGATGGCGATTTGCAAGGAAGTGCAGGAATTCGTTGTTTAGGACGCGCGGGGCGTGCGGGCCGGGGGGGAACTATGACCTTCGCGCGTTGATGCAATGTCGCCGTGTCATTGACCACAGCGCAGCGCAAACAGTTGCAACCCCCCTCCCGCACCCTGAGACAACTCCCCCGCACCCGTTTCGATCCCCCCGCTTGCACTTTCAATTCAGTCTATACGAATTTCCATGTTTGGAAAATATATATTGTTACATTATTTCACTATAATTTCGTAGATAGTTTGAAGAAAATATGATAACAGTTGTTCAAATTTTGAATTGTTCTATTCTGAAAATATTAATGTAGAGGAATAACAAATATGTCAAACCAAAAATTGGTCGTAAACACAATCAGTTTCTAATAACTGACTTAATACAATGTAACATTCTTTAGCCGAATATTTGATAACCTCATCTTGACGTATTGTGCCTGACCTCGGCGATTTACTGTACGTTAAAAGGTGACATTTTCTAGTTACATATTATGTTTACGTAAGCGGGGTGTACGAACTCTGCAAAATCACCTTCGACGTCCCAATATGCAGGTTGAGGTCATATCGACAATAAAAGTAGTTTTCGATAACCGAAGTCGACAAACAAGATACGTTGCAGCGGAAAAATTGCGATTATACGCTTGTTTAATTTATCACAATTACTACAGAATAAACTTTTTTATTTTTCTTTTTGTATTTTTACTAGTTTATACATGAATGAGTAAATTGTACTATTTGATAGGACAATATTTTAATTTGACAATTGACGCGTTTTCAATAGGGTTGTTTCACGGCGAAATAATTGGCATATTTAGCTACCATTGGAAAGTTCTACAAAATCAATTGTCTCTTATAAGTATGACATTATCGCTTCTCAAATTAATTATTCCTAATTAAGTAGAAAGTATACGTTAATTAAGCTGTTGTTTATTAAGTCAATATCAGTTGCGCAATTGTAGAAAAATAGCCGGCTCTTGTATCTTCCTGAACCTGGCCTCGATCCTGACCTTCCACAATATCGAGCGGCCTAAATACAGCGCAAACAAGCGTGCCTCACTTCGATAAGTGCATCCGGCCAGTGCTGCATAGGGCTGGTGGGACGTGACACATAGAAAGCGAAAATTAAAAAACGACTTAAAATCTGTGATAAATTTAGAATTCGTATTTTTAAATTTTAAAACATTATAATACTCTAGATTAAAAAAAAATCATCCTTATTTCAAATTTAGAAGTTCGCTGTCTATGTCTAATCGCGTTTCTATTGCGAAACACAGAACGATTTCCGATAAAAAAAAACTAATGAAACACGCCATTTTTACGCCATATCTCTTGTTAATATTTTTTATTAAGCAGTCTTAAACTTTTCACTGACACCCCTATATTTGCATTTGGTATAAAAGTTTAGGCCGATAGCTTTATCAGGGGTTATCAGTTCTGTACCTATGCCATGTTCCCGCTTAAATGAAAGTTATCTCTTATAAGTTCATTGCTACGGGATATTGTGAAAACAATTTTTTCTTATGCAATTAATTTTTATCAAATTGCATTAATGTATTTAATAACAGTCGAAAACATTTTAATGAAGTCACGTTTTAACGCCATCTAGTGATAATAAAAATAAATACAGACCTACAGAAGACATCAGAGTACATAAAATAAAAATGCTTGTAGAGACACTTCTTACCTAATTCAAAGACCTATAAAATGTATTTATAAATTTTGCGGACAGTAATATTTGTTAGAAAGAGGTTAAAATACAGCAAAATATCGTACATGAGGAAACCAAGAATTTACATACAGTTCAATATTAGATAAAAACTGTTTCATATTATCACGTTCTGTGCATTAGCGTTGGATAATAATGACATAGATAAGTAGCGACTTCCTATTTAGATAATGAGTGACGAATGTGACACACGAAAAATGTTTTTTCGCGCGCTAGCGTTTGAACATTTTGAATATAGAATGAATTTTCAATATGAAAGTTGACACTTCACTGCACAGATCACAATAATTAATTAGTAAGTTGACGGATTAGGTAGGTAATTCTAATATGGTAGTGGCAAAACGGGAGTAATATGCTTCTAAACATACGTCCCATACCCATTTAGATTAATTTTGTTCCAAAACAGCTTTTGCAAGTGGTGAAGAACATCCAACATAAAATCGCAAGCGTTATATTTTTTTAAAAATGGAGTTTAATAGGCCCCACGTGTGTACTTTCAAATAAGCTTAATATTAAAAATAATAACTTATGCATTAGTCATACACAGTTAAGCATAACACAGTGTAATGTAATTTACACGAAACGGTTTTGGACACGTACAAAATTAGATACATAATATTAAAAAAAAAAAAAAATAATGACCGTGATTTAAACATATTTTCGTACATTTGACGGAGTTATCAGTTGGACTAATAATGTTCATTTTATTAAAACAATATAATTATATTAAATAAATTAAATCAATAGTGGACAGGAAACTCGGCGAATCAATAGATCGATCTATAGATGACGTCATTTGACAATAGAATGACGTTATACTGGCAATAATCACCAGTCATGTGCAGGCGCATTTAAATGCATAAATATTATGTATATTATTATTTCTATACGATAAGACAGAAACAATTTCAAACATAAAAATCTGTAGACAATTTCAAAACTAGGTACGTATTAGTAATACGGTGATAATATAAAAATCAATGAAGAAACAAGGTAGAACAGCATGGTTTTCCCTTATAAAAGGAAAAAGTACTCGGAAAATAACGGCCATAAGGAAGGAACATAAACTAGTTCAATATATAATAAATTACCATAACTCATTTTTTATATGTCATATAAATGTTTTTTTTTTGAGTCACTATATAATTGATATATGCAGCAGTATGCCTAGTGGCTTTAGCGTGCGACTGTCATCCCAGAGGTCGTAGGTTCGATCCCCGGCTGCCCACCATTGGACTTTCTTTCTATGTGCGCATTTAACATTCGCTCGAAACGCGAGGAAACCGGCTTGGCTTATACCCAAGTCGACGGCGTATGTCAGGCACAGGAGGCTGATCACCTACTTACCTATTAGATTGACAAATGATCATGAAACAGATACAGAAATCTGATGCCCAAACCTAAAAATATTTATTATTATAAAAATAATTGATATATAATTTGTAATCGGATCTAGGTTCATATTAGTTATAAGGAGACCATCTTTTTGTTCGAATGGAAACGCGGACTGTATACAAATTGGGTCCAAAGTCAACATCATAAAACTAACACAAAGCACAGCTTAAGGGTTACTTTTAACATCTCCCTCTCAACGAAAAACTTTTAACAAGACCCACAGGCCTACATCAACAAGAACTAATCAATATCTCTAGTCAAACTTTTGTTTGAGCTAAATCTGTTTTCCACTCAAACTTTCATCATATCTTAATTCTCGTATGGAGTTCGTTTTGAAGTTATTGCAGTATTATATTAAAGAAAACCGTATTTTATTTACAATAAAAATATGTAGAACGTTGGAATAATAAATATCAGTTGATTACCACTGTTATTAATATAAAGAAACGAAAAATATCTTAAGAAACATTAAAAGTATCATAATTCAAATGTATCAAGCAAATTATAACGTAATAAAACGCTCGCTTCTCGGAATAAAACCGCGGAGCGAAATCTTCGGGATGCGCGGGAGTTGAGGGATGCGGTGTGTGTGTGTGTGTGAAGGTCAACCGGCGGCGTCATTTCCTGGTCATTGGTCCTGCCTCCGTCTGCACACATAGGCAGTGTATGCACTCTTAGAAACACGCACACCGCTTTCCGGTCGCGCAGGAAAACGTCCTATATAACCATTGTGACTAGTCTATGGGAGGATATCAGTGCATAAAAATGCATTGTTTTTGCATGACAATAAACTAGAATCAGACGTTATCTGAATTTTAATATGGCTTCAGTCACTGTTTCCTTTTGAAATATGTTTAAAGCGCATAAATGCTTACGCAGTTGTTAAAAAGGTTTTTCATATCGTCATACTTAAATGTAAATCGAAATTTAGAATGACCATACAGGAGCCACTTTCGCCCTTATTTCTGGACTACGCACCATGTTATCAGTTTTTTATCACTGGCAATATTTGCAAATAATCACGTTTCGTAATCCGTGCAAATTTTATCTCTTCCGCCAAGATAGCGTACGCAAAACTATAGAAAATTTCGCAAACAACTTACTGTTGCTGCGAGGAACCACGCGAGTTATCTAATACTTTTACAGCGATAACAATTTGCGAAAATGATAATTTTGATGTATACAAAGATATGACTGATACACAAATCGTGTGTTTAGCAATTTGTAACGACGATACAGATTCGTAGATAGATCGTTCGTGATGAGACATAGGACTACTATGTGGAACCAGCTACCCACTGAAGTATTTACGAACCAATTCGTTTAAGGCTCCTTCAAGAAAAGACCTGTGTACCTACTAATTCTCAAAACGGCAACGCACTCGCAAGCCTTAAAATAAGTTATACGAATATAACTTATTTTAATTTTAATTTATATAGTTTTAAAAGTGCAGCTTTTTCAATTGTTTACCACGCTAAAAACATTTAGTAATTAGCAAAAATAATGACTTAACAAATTCACCAAGAACGACAATTTATAGAAATTAATAATGCCAATATCATGTATCCTAACCGCTACTGAGCCGTGTTTATAAGAGGTCTGTAGGTAACCTATTTCTTGCGAGTCCCGGACCGGTTCCCGTAGGCTAAGGCATCCTGCAATAAAACCAATAGGCATTGTTTTAGAGTCCACTTTGAAGCATTCTCCATAGCTAAGCGTAGGGCTGTCGAGGGATCACCGTTATCGTTGCGTGCGAAAATAACTGATGAAAAATTCAGTTTTTTATATGCCTCATGTGTATAATGAAAACAAGAAGCCGTCCGCAAATACTTTTATATAAAATGTATATAGTCATGTGCCAAAAAACAAATACATACACAACACAACTTAAGCATACACAAATTTTGCATGTTTGGGTCGATTCAGTCGTACGACCTGAATGAAGAAAATTTTGTCGTATTGGTTCGAACTTTAATTTCTATCAATACGAAATAGCCCCTAGCTATCGAGACTGGCTCCCTCAGGTCAAATGTATTTTTACATAGCCGTAGTGACAGGACTTTGTATTAGTAATGTGTTCTTTCTGTCCCCATTTCTTGGCCTGCACGGTTTGTGCGTCAGCCATGCAAATCACTTTTTTAACTTAATATTCAATACTTATTAGACTTTTTCAATTTTCTTTGTATCTCAACTTCGCGTTAACACTCTTACATCGCTGTACATAATTATAAAATATTAATAAGGATTTATTAAGAAATATAGTGTCACTCGTCAGCCATTTTTTTTCGTCCCATGTACATTTCAGGTTACGAAATCATGTCAGTTCCCTAGATTCTTTAAAAAATATTGTCATTTTATATTTCAAGAGTACATATAACAAGTGTTACCTGTTTATGGGTTTCTGTCAACCCTAAGGTTGTCTAGTACCCCGTATGCGCAACCTTGATACTGCAGAACCAGTAGGATGTGTTCGGCTAAATATAGCCTGATATTCCGCTTTTTACTTTTTTGTTACTCTTCCCAGGCTCGAGAGGGATTTTATGGCGTACATGGCAACGGTTCATTAAAATGTAAATAACCGCCAATGAGACGCCTAACGCTGTTAGCGGTTCTTGTTTTATACCTATAAACACTAATAACTTTTAGAAATATATTCTTCAACACTTACACTTCTAATATAAATTGCTAAATAATCATATACAGCGCAGTGAATTAAAAATGTAGTCCCATACTCATTTCCTAGGTCTAAAATCAGCAATATTTTCCAAATTCCTTCTCCAAAAACCAACCTATCTTTCGTATTCTTCGCGATTTTAACGGATTGAACGGTGCTTATCCGGAGCTGGATATATTCGGTAGTGGGCTGATCGGTTTTAGAGAAAGCATTGTTGGGTGCCTATCTCGAACCTAATTCGCCGTTTTGCTGATGATTTTTTTTTCTGCTTTGCCAAAAATTTCTGGTGACTTTATTGTATGCTTATTTTGTCTTGTATATATTTTAATTGTATTTTTTGATATTTTTTTTTGTGAAACTTATGTTTACTTAAACTGTCATACATTTTAGATGGAAGATTTTGTAAAATATGCCGTAGATATAGTACTATACATGATGTGGTAAACTTTAATAAATAAACACTTTAACTCTACAATGCACTCGCCTTCCATTGGATCAAAAATAGTAAATGCCTCTTTGTCACCAAAATCGATATTTGAATCTACAGTTTATTTAGTTTGTGGAACATATTGTTTTACCTTATATTGTAATAGACACACGTACTATTAGCTGGAATGTAGGCTATCGCTCTATTTTGGTAAAATAGTACATCTGACGCCTAGAAAAACTTTACTAAGTAAGTAGTTCACTCATTCGCAATTAACACGCAGGCTACTGAAGCAACCTAGTTTTGTTATTTCTGTATTTCATGCCGTGAACCGATTTATTTCTTTTTTAATTCTTTTTTGAAAATTACGTTCCATTATTAGGTAAAATTATAAATACAATTCACACTTTATCTTTATCGATAAAGTGTATAACTTCATTTTTGTTTCACTTCAATGTTACCATTTTCAATTTTTTTTTTGGAATACTAAATAACTTGTAAAATATTTCGCGTCAGCCCTCTGAGAGCGTATATCAATTGTTTCTGGCTCTTTGACTAGAACTAGATACATAGAAGTATTTCTTTTATTACTCAAATTAGTCACTTATAAAGAACCTGTTTGATTTTTATTTCCATAGTTATAGATTACAAATACCTCTACTTGAATTTAAAAGTCATAGATTAGGCATACACCATTGTTATTTGATGAGCGCGCACACGTGTCAATGAGGTGAATGACCGATGATAAGTCGCGCGAAAATGTGCGACTTAGATAATATTAGAAAGAATATGGCGGATTGTGGAAGCTCGTATGACGTCTAATGTTTACCGCGCGAAAACTAAAAATACTATATCTTTGTGTTACATAACTATCGTATCTACCATTACAATTAAAATTATTTATATTTAGGAGAAATATGACAAATACAGCAAGTGGTAAAAATAACGGATTTTACTGACACATCAACATTCTCTTTGGGATGTTTATATATCGTCTTTATTCCGCGATTCTAATATAATTTTATAACATAATATTATATTTGTATTCCCGTAGTCCGTTTATTTTCATCTACGAAAATGTTTTTAGGTCGGAAGTGTGAGCTCGAGTTTTATATTTCTCCGAATTTCTTGATAGACAACTGTTGTAAAACAACTTATTATTTGAGCACCCATCGGATAAATTTTGTTAGATTGTTTAAATCTGAATATACAAACTTTTCAGAATACAATACAAAAAGCAACAAAATCGTTCGCATTTTAATTATTATAATTACCTTACAAATCAATAAGAATTAGTACAATTTTTATGCATTTTATTTAGTTTTTTTTACGTTTATGCCATATTTGAACACTGTACACGCGGCTCCTGTACTGTATATCCCATACCTGGCTGTACCAACTCATAGGGCCAATCCTCTAGCAATCAAAGACGGTTGTAGCTCTGTAGTTTTTGTTCGGTTGACTATATTTTATTGGTTGCTCGTAAGTGTTTGTCAACAACTGTTTGCGTGTTATCTATTAAATAAAATCAGTGTTTAAGGTACTACCTATCTTAAAGTTTATTTGTAGAAAAATAAGAGTGATAAGCGTTAGCCGGTTAGATAGCGAGTATTAGATTGCGTCAAACGCTCGCCTTGACCCCAATAGCCGGCGAGCCGAGCCACGTTTTCCTCTATACATGTCACAGTTTCACTTTCAAAATTACACGCATTGTATAGACAAGTTTCAGGTAAGCTAATGTTTTTGTTGATAAACCTATACAACTTAGGTTTAGCCCTCTTGCTGTCTTCATCATAATAAACATCATAAGTCTTACAATATATTCTTATTAAAAGAAAAATTTTAAAATAATTAATTGCTTTAATGTGCAATTTCATTTAATATGCTATATATACCAAAACGCTAAATAATTAATCAAAGGTATTATGATAAGTTTTAATTTAAAGTGCTAAAAGCAAAAATAAGTATAATTTAAATGTAAAAATGATGTATAATTTAAATTATAAATTAAAATAAATTTATAAGATTTTTCAGTTGTATCGAATTGATCAAAACAATGAAACAAAATGAATTTATTTCCGCTACACATTGTATTGTTACAATAGATTGTTATTAAACATTCGCTAGACATCTCGCTGTGTGAAGTCTAGATCAATTCGTTTTGTTATTTTAGCTATAATCAACATTGATACGGTAATTACATCCTTAAAATTGGTATTGGTAATTAATTAAAAAAGAGTAATATTTGAAATAATAATAATAATGTTAATTGTAACGCATACTTTTTTATCTGTGACAGTAAATATGAGGAACTTGAACCAGACCATATTTAAAAAAATAGAGAATTTGAAATTGGAATTCAAATTTTATTCTGTTTCTAAAGCCCCATATCATCTACCACTAGACAAACAACCATAGAGATTAAAACTGATCTTATAAAACAAGTTAGCATCGCAGGTATACAGCGAAGATACCGTATTACAAAATGATTAAATAAATGACTTCCTTTCAAATAAGTGTCATAACTCTAACCCACTTTATATAATTACATTTTATTGGTAGTGAATATCGCTGTGCACTTCCTTTCTAGATACATATTGTTTACCACTCGGAGATAAAAAATACTTGGTTAAATTGAAATCGACAAAATGATCCAGAAATCTTTACTATTTAGTTATAATATAAAAATAATCTATACAATATGAAAGTTTACTAATTATTAGAGCTTCGAAATTAGATTTTCCTAGAGACGAACATCATTAAACTGAATCGTAAGCATAACTTTCAAAAACTTGTTATTAATTATACTTTTTCTTAATTCCAGTGTCAGTGGGTGAGCGAGACCCTTACGGCTACGGGTATGGAGGCGGGGGAGGGGGGCACCACTTCGCCGCACCCGCGCCGCCCCCCCTCCCTCATGATGACCTCCCCTATTCTGTCTTCGACTTCGGGGACTACCAGCGGCACCACCATCACAATAAACTCAAGCCCAAGAAGAGGCCGCGACCCGACGGGCCACCCACGCCCGGAGTCAAACGCAAGAGTCGCGAGGGATCCACGACTTATCTTTGGGAGTTCCTTCTGAAACTCCTTCAGGACAGGGAATACTGCCCGCGGTACATTAAGTGGACGAACCGCGAGAAAGGCGTGTTTAAACTCGTGGACTCGAAGGCGGTGTCTCGGCTGTGGGGTCTCCACAAGAACAAGCCAGATATGAACTACGAGACCATGGGCCGAGCCCTGCGTTACTACTACCAGCGCGGGATACTCGCGAAGGTCGACGGGCAGAGGCTGGTGTATCAGTTCGTCGATGTGCCCAAAGATATCGTCGAGATAGATTGCTCGCTCGCGTAAGTGCAAGAATCTCTGCTAACGGACATTACAAGTTATTTTCGCTCTTAAATTTTCACTTAGTAAATTATATTTCTCTATGCATTACGATCGCTTCTAACATTATCCAGATCGAATATGTATTGAATATTTACATTGAAGAGACGAAATTAATTGCTCAAACGTTTATATATCTATTTTTAGGGGAATTTCAGAAAGGAACACTTAAATTTGCTAGATGTTTACGGTATGGAGTGAATTTTGTAAAATGTTGAAACGAATTTTTAAAGTTTGTATTGATGTTTGTATATTGTACGTATATCGTCGCCTCCGACATAACTTCCTACCTCAAAACTACGCAAAACACATATTAATATGATTATACAATTTATTCGAAACAGTTTACAATATGCAATAAGTATAGTCTAAATAAGAGTTTTATTAAATAAATATTTACGCAACAAAATGTTTATATTATAGTGAAATTGACATATTTTCCTTCAGAAGTTAATTATGTATTTCTTTGGTGCTTTATAGCCATTGCAAGTTCTTGTTACAAACTAAAGACCACACGTTTATATATTATTATATCGATTATGTAAATCTATATCTAGCTGTTGTTCCTTTGTTGTAGCCCGACCTTAATAACTGCGAATGCACCTTGATTAAAAATGTAGGTAACCTAAATCCCGTAATCTGTGTCAAAAGCTAGACGAAATACAGAGTCGGAAGTCTTCACAGATAATTAAAAACTATATTGTAGTACTCATCAAGTGCATTCCGCATTTATTTATGGTTTTAAGGTCGTTTGACAGATTTCCACAAAAAGTCCGACGCCGACAAAGCCGAATTTTTCTATTGATATTATTTAGTTGTTTGTACAAATTCCAAGTGAATTATACGAATGTAAGTACTGAAACCTACTGCCAACTTTCTGTTAGTAAAGAATAGTTTAAGTGATTTGTGCGTTAATATGTCTTAATTATTGCAAATTAATGTTTACTTGTAAGTGAGCTGTTTTAGAACACGATCTAGAATATTTGTTTTATTTAAATTTATGTTAGTAAGCTGTTGGACGGGGATCTCGAATTATTTTGTGACATATCAATGAACATCGTATTTCACCGCATATCCAAGTAATCCGTTACAAACAAATATAACATACAGATACACACAACGCTAGTTCGAGACCCCATTTTTGTTACCTGAATAAATAATAGTAATAATTACGATTTGTGGTCCAATGTAATTGAAACATAATACTTTTAGATAGAGATCGGTTAAGCTGTAGTCTAGTACGCGTTGAGATACATCAAATGATGCACAGACAGGTTATAGTGCCACAAACTTATCTGATCCGGTTGTCGAAACTTGAGCGTATTGTTACCTAAGCTGACACTAACTTAAAAGCACGCTACCTTCAATGGATCGGATCTGATTGCGGTGCCCTGTGTTACAGACGTACCTACAATATTGTATAGTTTTACTTGTCTATGGATAGAAGGAGGTAAGTTTAGTGGCGTACGTCCGAGCTGGGACTCCGGCAGTCCTCGCCTCCTTCCCTCAACTACCGATTGTTATGCGATATTTTCTATATTATTAAAGTTAACATATATCAATAATTTATTAGCAGTTAAGTATATATGAAATAGGAGAGGCCGAGGACTGCTCGCTCCCCAGTAAATAAGGGTTAGCGAAGCCTTAATGAAACGAAACGTAAAGAAAATGGGTGCTAAGTGAAAGTGTGGAACCGTCAGAAAGCAGACTCATACTATAAAACAGCTTCTACTTAACATTTTGTTGTCCGCCCCGTACCCAGTGTAAACAGTACTTTTGATTTTAAAGGATCTCAATGATTTGAACAAATCCAGTGCCCGTTTCTTGTGATTACGATTTAATAATTACGTAAAAAGTGGAAATTTTATTCGTATTTTACATAGTTAGGCGAAATTCTCGAAAGGACTATCGAAATTATTTTCTTGCTTTTGTAAATATAATATAGGTTAACTTATTTATTTTGTCTCACGCCACTTGGGCCCGATCTGCGCAGTCGCTGTCAAAGTCGTTATTTAATCATTTTTCAAATTCTATTTAAATTCAAATAGTGTAAGTTTGGATCTACAAATATTTACATTAAAATAATATAATCGGCCACTGCGCTGATCTTGTTCAAACGTGATACATTTTCTTTCCTTTTCTAGGAAATTTCGTTCTATAGGTTACAAATTTTATTGTAAAATTTTTAATTATATAATAAATAAATATAATAGTAGGTAATGAATGGACCAGGCGATGGCAGGGAGCGCTCTCAGAATTTATAATTCGGCTAGTGTTGAAGAGTTACCGGTAGTAGGCAAAATGTCTGAGCGACATTTAAAATTATGCTCGTATAAAATAATTTTAGTCGAATTGATGTTGTTAACGAATCAAAGTTTCTAATAATTAATGTACTTAAAACTTTCAATGTAAATTAATGGCACTTCAAAAAGATATTGTTAAAATTATTTTAATGGAGACTAGTCCTAGTATCATATTTCCTTTAAATTATTTCTATTGCCGAACCGGCAGAGGGCGTTAAGAGGTGCAACATGGCCGCTGGTTCGTAGTGATGCACATGGAGATTGTAAATAGATTATGATGAACGCACACCCTCATGACCCAATCAGTCAGGACTAGCATGAAAATCTTAATGATTAAAAAGTTGATAAAATTTCATTTTCTCATGCAGCGGTGCCTAACTAGGCACTGTACAAAATATTGTTTATTAGAGAATGGCAACATTTTTGATCTGATGTATTTTCATGCTAGGATCTAATGGCATTGTTAGATAGGTGGAAAATTGTGAAAATAATTAGCGTGGAAGCAATCAGAAGGTTAGTGAATTCAGTATAAGGGGGAGGGGGAAATGGCCGTTGGGTAACCTTTTGTCTAATGTTTCAATAAATTAATGTTATTCGTTGATAATTGTCCAAAATTTAATACGTAACTCGTGAGTGTTGTGTCTCGTTTATTCTAATTTGTATTCTTTTTAATTCTTGTCTTGCATCAAAATTAAGGAGCGGGCCATTCGATACTAGATGGCGTTGTAATCTAAATTAATTTAATTTATTCTGAGAGTTATGTGCGATAGTGATTATTGTGTTAAATTGCTTTTAGGTTAAAGTCCGTTTATTTTAATTTTAGTTGTATAATTTAACAAAATAATGTATTTTCTGCCCCCTAGTTAAGTTATTTTTCTATGTATAGTTAGTTATAAGTGTAAATGATTAGCACATAAATTTGATGCATGATGATAATGTTAATAAAATATCCACAATAAAATACATTACAATCTTTTATTCAACGTTGCCCTTAACTTAGTGAAGATTAAAATTTCAAATCAACTTTTCATAAGTAACATGATTTGTGTGACGGAAAAATTTGAAACGTACCAAAAGATAACGAAAAAATCAAACCTTGAGGTACAAAAATTACAATACATTTATTAATGTAGGTAACTTTGGTACCCTTATGTCAAAAAAAATGACTAAATGCAACGTTTGATGTAATGTTTGACTAGAAAAACGGGAAAGAATGTCTCCGCCACTCTCAAATGTAATAATGTTGTAATGTTACAACTATATTCAAATATGAAAACATCTAAGCGACATCTCAGACTAGAAGTTATATATTTCATCGAAAATGTTTTATGAAAATTTGATCAACAAAGGCCGTCATACGGCAAATCCCTGGAAGATTGATAAGAAAAATCTTTGAAATAGTTCTGGTTGCTTTGGTTGCAACGTGAGGTTCATGCAAAATTTGCTGTTTCCTAATAGATAAACTCTATTTTTTTTTTTGTATTTCTACCACAAAATTAGGACAAACACATGATACAAATTGACGCACATATACAAAAATATAAAAAGCGGTGCCGTCCCTATAACATGTGGACACGACCAGCGAAATCAAGTAGATACAACCAACAACTCTTAGATGAGGCCAGAGAACCATGAAATATGTCAAAACTCTGTGCAATATCATTATGGTAGCGACATAACCTATTAATTGGAGAGAGGTTTCTGGCAACGCTTGTTCGACATTGTGGGATGTGAAAACATCTTCCATTGTATAAACAACTCCCGACCCGAGGAACTTGTATGCTGTATATGGATAAACGTGCTAAAATTGCCAGATAAAACTATTGAACTCCAATATGGTTATAACGAGGCTGGTAAAGATAGTAACAGCGACACTGGGATCGGTAAGACTCCCTGTTGTTCTGGAGATGAAACCAGAAAGCTTTGAGGATCTTTTTATAATGCTATCTACGTACTCCCTATATGTGACATGTTAAAAAAAAGATAAAGTCGAGAGTATGTCTTATTATACCAATACGCTTAGAAAAACGGGAGTCATATTATTAGCGCTAAGGCGTGTCTTCGATGTGACCCTTAGCGCTAAGTCTACTCTGAATATCGCCCTAAAAAAGGGTTTGTTCTAAAACCTACGTTAAGATTAGATACATTGGCAACGCAACGACGTTCCGAGCGACAGATAACTAAATATTTTTCCAGAAACTAAGTGCTAAACAAGTTTTTGAACGCATCGAAAATCCCAATTAAATTTATTATTCCACATGACAAGAATGACGTGTCTGTTGACGTTAACTCAGATTGTCTTTCATTGTAAATTGTAATAATATTATGGTCTGTGCATGGTAGTCTTGACGTGTAATTTCATAATTTTCGATTGTCAGTATAATTAAAAATATAATATGTTCTAATTTTTATTTCTAAGGAAATAATAATGAAAAGAAAAATTAAAGATAGAGGATAAAGTGAAAATATCTGCAGCAATAAATTCTGTATTGTTTTTGCTACGAAGACAAAATGGTGTTAATGACAATGATAGCGCGAGTGGTCGATGGCTTACCTCTAGCAGCAACTATGCAAGAAGATGACCAGGTAGACAGTAGTCTAAAAACGTTTGTTTTCTTTCTGAAGAAATCAATGTACTTTTCTTTCCACAGAATAGGAACAAAAAGTAAATAGTTGTAACACTTTGCTAGCATTTTCCTTATTTTGCGTTCTTTTATTGTCTTCTTATTTAATTTGCTCTTCCTGTGACCCTTAGAAATTCCAGAGATTTAATTTATTATTTCGATGTTCCGTTTTAAGAAAAATGCCTCCATATGGGAATGCTTAAATTTTAATTCATGTAATATGGTGGTTTGCAGAGTGGCTGTAATATTTTGGAGTATCAGAACCAGGCCAAAATGCTGTTTAGAAAGTTAAGTCCACAATCACCCACCCGTTGCTCCATAGAAACAGGGCCTTATCTATTTCAGTGAGTCTCCAGCTTTTTTTTATTGTTTCTTTTTTTTTCATTTGATAATTATTTTCATAAACATTGCATCATAAATGTTTTCATTAAGTTATGACATTTGTTTTATGTTAAGTTGTATTTGGTAGTTAATTGTAACATGTCTTGGTAATATTGAAGAGAAAATAATTTGTACATCAAATATGTGTGGGTAAAGCCTCAACTGATATTAATAATAACAATAATTAGTATTTAATTTCAGATTAAGCTTTACTTCTATATCCCATTTTAATTTTTAGGAGAACTAGTTATGTTACATGTGTTGTACAACTTTTTTAATTTCAGCTATTTGATAGAGAATGAAATCTGTTATCTTGTGCTGTGTGAGAGAAACTACAGTAAGCGACTTGCCTTTAGTTACTTAGAAGAAATTGCACAAGAGTTCTATTTACAGTACGGAAAGAGGGTTTGTGTTTAGTTTAATTTGTATTTTATAATAATTTAGTTAGTAGTAATTATACATTCTTATAATTTTACTCAGAATTACTTACTAGGTATAATAATATTATTATTTTCACTATGTGGTGAGCAAGCTTTTTTAATCCACATCTCTGCTCTAAAACAGTTTTTTAAGAACACTTTAATGTATTTCATACAAATTTTATAATTATTTCAGGTAAACACCGTGACCCGACCTTACACATTTATTGAGTTCGATACGTGGATGCAGCGCACACGTAAACAATACGCCGAGGGCGGAGCACGAGCTCGGCGAGCAGCAGGGGGTGCAGCTGCTGCTCAACTTGGTGGTCAGTTAGGAGATGTACAGAGAATTATGATGCAAAACATTGATGATGTCTTGCAGCGAGGGGCAATATTATCAGGTAGTAGATTTATTTAAGATTTTTAAACTCATATCAATATAAACTACTTACATACTTACTTAAATGTCATTATTAAATTGTACTAACAAAATGTGTAATGTTTTTATACATGCAATATTTTTGGACACTTTTAAGTTCATAAGGTAATTTCATTTATTAATATCCAAACATCTTATCGATTTATTTCAATTCCAGAACTAGACACAAAGACACAAAATCTCTCAATGATGTCTCAAAAATATAAGAAAGATGCAACATACCTCAACACCAAATCTATGTTAGTAAAGGCCACTGCTGGGGCTGTGGTGTTGCTAGTGTTTGTCTTGTACTTCTGGATCCTTTAGAGACAATCCTTGTAAGTGTGTATGTCGGTGACACACCTTCTTTCAATTTTTTGTACTTGGAATAAAAATATCCCATTTTTTGTAACTGAACCTTAAAATAGCCTATCCAATAAAGAAACAAATTATAACAGGTCTAATAATTTCCTAACACATTGTATAGTAAGTAAAGGTGTTTATAAAATATTCTTATTGAAATTATGTTGTGTTGTCACTGGCATATATGGGAAATATTGTAATATATTTTATTGAAAATCTTCTCACAAGTGACTGAATAAACCATTTTAGTCCTTATTACAGGAAATTGCATTCCACAATATGTTACACTCAAATATTGTATGACTATCATATAATTTTTCACAACATCTATAAATTTTCATTATTCTTTAGTTCAAATTTGTTTATGGAATATACTTTATTTTTTCTCAAGTCTCAGGAATTTCTCTGACATAACATTTAAGTGTAAAATATACATAATTGAATAACAAATATAAGCAATAGATTAACAAGCACAGTGCAAAAATGCAATAATATAATGTAGCTTGATGTTAAAATGTATTGCCAATATATTATTTTTATATGAAGTGGTGAGGGAATGTTGTAAATGTTTACACCTATTATTATTTATTTAAGAAGTATTAAATGCCTTCTTTCAAAATGTGTTGTTTTTATAGATTAAATTATCAGTTTTACTTTGAAATAATGGGATAGGCAGATTATACAAGCTGTCATCGGCTAGACATGATTTTGAAAACTAGGTTGAGGGCCTTTAAACAAAAAATAATCTTTCTCTGGTAGTTTAATGGAACAATAAATTACTTATGCATTACTACCTACAAAGCTTATTCTTCACATTTATTTGTTCAATGAGGTTTGTTGTTTGTATGATAATTTATTATAGAACTAAGTGAATTTTGTATGTTAACAGCCATTCTTGGATTTATTACCTGAAAGAAAATTACTTTAAAAAAATTATGAACCCAAAAAATTATTGGTGTAGGGGAAAAAGAGGGTGTCAGAAATTTGACAGAAAAAAATTGACCCTAAAGGATTTTCATGTACACATGGGCCAGCATGTCTACCAGGCAATAGCATATACATGTCAGTGTGCCGTTAGCCTTAATATAACATGCTTTGCTCTATAACCTATAAGAATGAAAAGATTACATATAAAAAAAATCACATAACTGTTTAAAAACAGCAGATATCTGTATTAATCATAATCTGTGGTTACACTTGCCTGCTATAATTGTCTTTCAAGATATTTTAATAACCTCTGTTCAACAAACTAACCAGTCTTGTAAAGATACCTGTAGTTATTTTCAAATATGGTTACCCTATATTGACTTACATGTATTATTTCAACGAATAAAACTGGTTTTTCTATCCACTGCATTATACCAAAAAGCTGAACAGTCATCGGTAATATACTATTTGGTATGTCATCTTGATACAACATTGATACTAGGAGTTTTGGTGCCTGTAGATTTGACTCTTCATATATCTAAAATATTAAAAATATAGAATTTATGTGGTATTTTAACCAAAATTTTCAGCTTCAAGACATTGATCTCTAAATCCCATGGTACCTACACCAAGGCATTCTTTAAGCCATACCCATTGTAGCCGCAAGGAGACTACAAATAAAACGCAAAATATCTTTTATTATTAACAAAGTTAAGTCTGGTGGTCTACGGTCGGTCTAGTCCTAGCGGTTTCATAACGATTGTTTCCCAAGTTGTCGAACCTAAGACCTTCAGTGTGTTATTTACAAAAATGCACTTTTAAGAGAGTGAATACCGTATGTTCAAATAGATTATTCTTGACTCAGGTTACGCTTTTACTTATTTGTATTAGATACCATTATCAGCATTTTTAAACTTACATCGTTTAAATAAAAATGACCATTGACGCTTTTTAAAATTCCAACAGTGCGACATTTCCAAGATTTGCAGTTATGACATTCTGCTGTCGAAAGTAATTCATCAACATTCATGTATGTGTATAATTCCTCTGCAATAATAAAAGGTATTGCGCTATAGCGATTAGATGAAAAAACGTAATATCGTCGGTGAAATCGTAACTACCTACCCACATTTTGCCTATTATCAAAAATGATTACGTCACCTTGGGAATTGCTATTACAAGACATTTTTTCGTTTAAAATAAACTAGAAAGTAGTAACTAATATACTCTTTGACGAAAAATAAAAATGTAAATTATAAGAATATTTAAAACAGTATGAACATTTTTTAAATATTTTTTTTGCTAATAGGGCTTCAGACAAAATCACTTTGCGACAGGCGTGACCCACTGACGCTAAACGAATTTTGATGGAATGAAAGTGATGGCAACGACTATTCACAGGTGAATGTCTATCTATAACAAGGTTATAATATATTCTAGTAAATATATATCAAAGAAAACAAATAACTATCTATAGATATTAACGTATCACCCCAGTTGATTTGAATTTAAATCGGAGCTCGTCTCCAATTTATTGTAATGCTCTTAATACTACTAGTAACTTTTTTTTATCCTGTAATGTGTATGAAGGGATTTTGTACAACTTCAAAGAAGCAGCGGTATAATTTAAGTTGACACTTCCGACTAAATGACAATTGGTCTAAAATACTCTAAATACGACTGTTCCAACTTCCATATTTACATTGTTGTCTTTGGCTGTAGTTTTATACGGTAGATGTTAGATTACTAATAGATTCGTTATTATTTAACCATCAATTGCTGGAAAAAATGCTACCATCTAATTTGGTAGAACTTCGCCCTAATCGACGATTATTGGATCATGAATTTGAAGGCTACAAGTTAAATCTTAACGCTCTACCACAGCACGTTTTAGAACTTATTTCAAATGTAGACAGACTTTTTCCAGGTGAAGTGCAATATTCCTTTGTACATGCTAAACTTTTTGCGCTACACAATCATTTAATAGTCGACTACTGGGATCATGCGTTCAATTTTTACTACATTGATAAAAACCAACAAGTTCGCAACACATCCTTTGAAAGCATATCAAACACATTCCAACAAGGTATAGTTTATGATGTACCTGCTCATGAAGAAAGGAAGTCTGGCCATTTTAATTTATGCTTAAATTTTGCTTCTTCTACCTTAGCTGTGATAAGTGATGGTACTGGATATTTACATATAGTAGATACAGGTCTGCGCAATAACCCTGTTACCAAAAAACAGATGTGGTCCACAGCTTTTTCTTGTTTAGCACTGGGATCTGGCACATACTTCGTGATTGTTGACACAAAATTTCAAGCAAATGAAAGTAAAGAAGTATTACATTGCTTATTACAGTCTGTAGAACAAAATGATAAACAATTCAATTCAATTCTCTCATGGATAACTTTTGAGAATAATGGTCAATGCTGGAAACAGTCAGTTTTAAAACAGATTCAAGGTAAGGGTATTGTCCATTATTCTGCAATTGAAACCAATTGTTCCGCAGTATATATAGCTTCAGACAATACATTTAAATTTACATTAGATTCAGAAAGAGAAATTGTAGAACCCCAACCAGAGCAACCAAGGCAAATAATTTATACTTGGTTGCAAACCCCTGATGATGTAACAATTACATTGCAATTAGAGAATAAATTTGATAAGAATCTCTTGCTTATAAATGTTTCTCCTGTGAGTATAAAGATAACTTATGCTGGAAAAGACTTTGTAAATGGGAAATTGAAAAGTAAAATTGATAGTGAGTTAACAACATGGAATGTTCAGCAAAACGGTCAGGTGGATGTCCTTATTACTAAATCAGATAGTATGATTTGGGAAGAGCTGATTGATGGCGGGGACAAAAATGGAGAGCAAATTATGGATGCATCTTTAGTTGAAGAGGCTCATAGACGACTAATGCATTTGTGTGCTGAAACAGAAGTAGTTCCTGACAGAACTGTGCAAGGCTTATCAACACAAGAATTAGAGGAATGTGATGCAGCTTCTGAAGAGGATACTGTTTTAGGTAAGCAATACACTTTAAGTTTTCTCAAAGTTATATTGGATTCAAATATAGAATATCATTCAAGACGTAGAAGAATTTTATGAATTATTAATACAATATTTATTATTTTATCATATTGATTAAACAATGGTAATTACGGTAAGAAATATCTTACAATTTCAACATTGAGAAAGAGTTGTTTTAAATTTAGTATTTGTTTCAGTTCGCTTAGATGCTAGTAACCACACAACTACACATAGAGTCCCTCTTAGTGTCCACCAATTTCTGTTTAATATTAAATTAGAAACAGAAGGAGTCCCAGCCCTCTGCCTACGTCATGATGTTGATGCTTGTATTTGGCAACCATACCCTCACTTAATTAATACTGATATATGGCCAGTGAAACATCAAGGAACACTGATGGCTTTTGGATACATACAATCATCTAAGCAAAATCGAAAATTTGTTACATGTTCTCCTAACTTCTCATATGGCGTTGTCTGTGAAGCCACACGCCATGTATTTATCTATAAGAGTTCTAGTAATGTTGGGTGCCAATTGCGAAAACGGACAGAAGGAGCTATGAAGAATATAAAAGTGGGTCAACAATTTGTTATTAATGTTGAAAAGTATGGTGAAGTTTTAGGTATAAATGCAACTAATGATTATTTGTTTATCTTAACAGAAAGTAAGCTGATTGCTATTGAAATGATGTAAATAAATAAACATAACTTTATTATTTATTTCCATTTTGTACACATAGTAGGAGCTCAGGCTGATTGTTTTTTTGTATATTGTTTAAAAAAAAACTAATATTGGAAGTAGTTGACTAAGATATAATGTAAATTTTATTTTATGACTTCATCTTCACTGTCAGTATGAATGCTTTCCTCTGATGAGTAACCAGTTGTAAATAATAAATTCTTAGGTTGTTTCTTTCTATGTTCCTTAACTTCCTTCTCAATTTCTTTTTTCTTTTCCTGAGCTATTTTTTCAGTCAGCAATACTCTTTTTCTCTTACTTTGAGGCTCAGAAGAAACAGAGCTGTTTTCCCTAACAGCTGGATTATCTTCAATTTTATTATCATAGTCAAATTCATCTTCTGTAAAGGAGCATAAATTATTAACCAAAACCTGTAGTACTAAATACTCGAACAAGTACCTATCGGTAAACAGTAAATTCTATATTTATAAATCACCCTATCATGGAAGACAAAGTAGACTAAGAATATGGCTCTCTCTGATGATAATAATTGGTCTCTTTAATTTTTTACTGTAAAACATCTAAGCAAAAAGGTTAAGTAGTTGTTGAGTACATCTATAGCACTCTAATAACAAATCAGAATCATAAATTGTAAACCTACCTGGTGTAATAATGTCAAAATTGTAAGCATGGTCTTTGAGTACCACAAAAACAATTGGAAATTCAATTATGCACTTTCCTGACAAATTCTCACACAAGGATTCTGACGGGTCAAGTTCAAAGAATTTTCTATGTGAACCCTTCACTTTCTCAGCTGAAAAATTATAAGATTAATTAAATTGTACTTACTTGCACAAGTATGGAATATAGGCAAATATGTTTAAAAGAGGGACTAAAAATTATAAATTTACCTTTCAATAAAACCTTTACACCACTTGGTCCAGCAGACCTATAAAAGCCCAATGATTTAGAGCCTTCAAATGCTAACACATCGGGGTTCAAATATTTATCCAACAAATCTGATATTTTTTTATTTTCTGCACACTTCTCATCTATGAACTTTAGGGGATTCCCCTCTATATTGGGAAAAATCCATTCCACTCTCCAATATATTAAATTTTTCTTAAAATCTAATTTAGTTGTATTTACTGCGTTTCTCGTAAAGTTTCTTGCCAAAAACTGTAAAACTGTGCCTCTTTTTCTTGCTGCTAATTTTAGTTTATAAAGATGCTGAAAACGTTAAAATATATAATATTGACAAGTTAAATTTCACTACAAATTTTAAAACATATATAAAAAAAGTAAATACTATTGGTAAGTCTTTATCAATCCTAGTGAACTTCTTCTTCTCATCCTTTTTTACAGAATAGACAAATCGAGCACATTCCTCTAACAATCTGTAGTCACTTAACAAATCAGTGTTTGTAAAGTCTTTAACTCTGACAAATTTAGTCCGATCCCGAATGCCATTGCATTCCAGTTCCGCTTTGTGTATTCTTACACAGTCCAAGCAACAGGTTTTCACTTCACATCTTGGACATGTATATTTAGCTTTATTTGCTCCACATACTTCACAGTTACCTAACCTACAAGCAAAATTAGTTAACATGCATGGAATCATATAGATTTATAAGTCACAATACAAATATCTTTAACATTATGAACATACCTATCTTCTCCTGTAGACTCATTTTCTATATCACTGTCCGATGATGAAGAAACTATTCCAAATCCCATGTTTTTTTAGTTTACAAAGCTTTAATGTTTCAAAATTTAAACACAGATCAAGACTCAAGTATTAAGTATAGGTAAAGCTTAAAGCAGGGATGCCAACTCCTTCAAAATGTTCCCGCTAGGACCAACTTCAAATACCCCTTAATGTCGATCAAAAACCCCTAAAATTTTTGTTGTACACTTGGTTTGAGAGGTAATTTCAAATATGAATTAAAAATACGTTGAAGTATTAAAAAATAGCTGTTGTATTTAAGTAAGTACATTTCACATATTTATTTATGTTAATTAGGGATGCGATACCGATACTCTTAAAGAAATATCGTCGATACCGATACCAACGCTTATTGGATTAATATTAAATTAAGGTAAAATACATCAAGTTAAGTTAAAGTTTACAATTTTTATTAAAAAAATATATACAAAAAATAGTCACAAACTGAATAATTTTAAAGGTTTTGTTACTCAAATTAAGAGTAATAATTAAATTAAAATAAAATAAATAACTGTTATTCATTAAAATTAACAATCATAATATTTTTGTAATTCTGTATGTATTTTATTTAATTTGGTATCGAAAAAATACTACTCGCGATAGCAGTTAAAAGCCAACTAAATGATCTTCAAATCTACGTTCAATCGAGTCTCAATGATCTCCCGCAAGCCATTATATCTAATAACTGTGAGCTGGCAAAGATAGTTGACTCGAGTAAAAATTTTGGTCTACTAATCAATCCAACAAGAGTTTTTTGTACTAACTACTGACGTGAGACTGATCTTAAATTATCGTAATTAATATGCACTTTTTATTTTCCATGTAGCTTTTTTTAGTTTATATGTAATTATGTATTTTTACCCTCCTTTTCTTTTAATTATGTTAAGTGAATTTTTATATTGTAAGCAAGAAAGTGTTAGTAAATAAAATAAATAAATAGTGTCTAGCAAAATGAAATACATATATTATAATTCATAAATAATAATGCTTTGTCGCCAAGCGAATGATAGAGACAACAAATTGAATAAAATGCGGGGATTTCTCGGGCAACAATAGTCCATGGCTCGTTTGCAACAAACTAGATCATACAATATGTGCGTTTACATTATTTTTTTTAAAGCGTGAAATTTGAAAAGTATCGTTGTATCGGCAATTAAAATATCGCCGATGCCGATATATCGGCAAACCCAAAGTATCGCTGATATATCGGTATTTTTTTTCTATAGCAGATTAATAAAATTAATAAAGTGGTAACCCAGGTCATCCGTCATAGTCCATAGATGTTAATTGTTAGGTTAAATAATCATTTATTGTTCACATTTTATCTGTGATTACGAAAAAATTGCTTAAATGTAAACATGTTTCGGCGACATAAAAAAATTATATTTATGATAATTAAAAATTTATAATGGGTACTGAAAGTCAAGGGGACGATTGGGATTATCCTTGCTCAGATGACGAGATATTATCTAGTGGCATAGTGATTGGGAAAAGTTGGATGCCAGATCCCACTGAGCTAGAAGAACTATACAAAACAATTGAAATTAACGAAACAATTAGCCTAGAATGGAAATGTCCAGGCCGACGTGCCCTTTCTCCAGTTCCAGTGAGTAATGAAAATCAGCCAAAAACAATGGAAGTTTCGCCAGTGAGAGAAGAGAAGTCTGATTTTGATTTCATGGATGAAATGGGTTCTCTGCATTTACGTGTTCGGCGTGAAGGAGAAGACACTTTGCGTGGTTCAGCAAAGAAGAAAACAACTTCGTTTAATGGCATTCTGTCTAATATGATTAGACACAAGAGGATTGAACAGTTGGAAAAACAAGCTAATACACCAACAAGTTCTTCTAATTGAAATTTAATTAGTGGTAATCTAAGTTTTATAGTTAAGACTCACTGTGGTATAAATAAATGTACAGAATATAACATATTTTTTTTGTAATTAATCTTGAGACGTATTTGACCGTTTTACTACATTAGGTGTGTTGATCTTTGTAACAGCATTTGTTCATTCTCCTCTAATATTTGTCGGCATAAATCCATATTGTCTATAATGTGCTGTAGCTTCCAGTGTTTCCTTAACAATGCATGTTCTAGATTAAACTTGCCCTGTCTAATACATTGTACTCCCGTACAGTAAGCTGATGATTTCAGTTGTACTCCCAGATCATGTATTAGAGTCCATAAATACTTGTCATACTCATTAACTGATTGTATTTCTAAAACAAAAATTTCAAATAAATACCTAGATTTCAGTTTCGTTAAATAGGTTATCGCTGTACATATATAGGTCATATGGAATTTAGTTTAGTTAGATAAAATTGTATCAACACAAACTGTATTGCCAGTGATTTATTAATCATAACTTGTGATTAAAGAATAATAATTACCTAATGTAAAATCTGGTGGTGCAAAGTGGACACATTTTAGGCCATATATAACTGGCAGCTTACTATTAGCAGGGCGAATTAATCCTTTTGCTGCTAGCTCATAAGTTGTCTGTGATTCCATATGTAACCCTGACAATCTAAGAAATAGGGTATTTTAACTTTTATTAGTTAAAGCACTCTTCATTCCAATAAAACAAATAATAATAAAGCTAAGAAAAACAATTAGTATACTTACTGATACATTGTTTTCTGGTGCGCTGCCTGCATATGGGCAATAACTTTATCCATCTTTTCTCTTGTTACATGAGAATATGTTGTACGCTCCATTGTTCGGCCATTCCAGAAGAAAGTATCAGTTGCTTTACCAAGCTGGCCATGAACCTTATATGCCCTTGTTGGACGTCCAATATTTATATGATATGACAGTTTTGTACCTTCATTTAATCCTAGCACTAAAATTGAGGCATTAAATATATTAATCATAATACAATTTTATTCAACATTGTTCACATTTTAAAAACTTACAGAGAATACCACTGCTAAACAGACCCAAATGTGTCGCCCAGTTGCATCGAAAATCATCATGTATATATCTCGGTCCACAAGCTAGAGGGTCATCTGCATAGTTTGGTACTATTCTTACCTCCATAGTTTTATTGGTTTCCCCCAATATTTCAACACGCTGTTCCAGTGGTCGATCAGGAAGATTATTTAGATCTGTAATAACTTGTGTTATAACAGCTACTAAGGAAAACCTACTAATCTAAGCGGTGATACTAGAATGTAACAAAATGGCAAATATTTCAATATAAGTTCTACTAGCAAAAGCTAAAATGAATATAACCTAGAGAATCCTGATCCGTTTTAGGATATTAAATGATATCCTAAGTATGTTTTATTTATTGTAGACAGACATTAATCGCAATATTGAAATGTTGAAAATTAAAAAAAGTTTAATAGTACTGTTTGACTAAACTAAACTAAAGTCTCTGTCCATTTTCATCACAGCAAACATAAACACAATTTGATAGAAAGGGACAAAATAGTATAGTTAAAAGAGTGCAATAAGCCAAAATTTGTTTTAATGAATAAAGATGTAAGTTTCTATAATAAATAATAAATAAAGAAATATACAAGTAAACAAATTATTAATGTCAAGGAAACCAGTCACTGGTAAGTTAAACATATCTTTGATATCAAACATTAGTGGTTTAATCTAGATATTCCATAGTAAAAGTAATTTAACGGTATAGTGCTATCTAATTAAACACTTGTAAAAAGGACCCTACTCATCATCCATTACATTACAACCACCACAAGGGATCCATTAAAATCAGATAGATATAATTTGATTTATTTAACTAACCAATTGTAGATCCATTTCATATGGCTTATGGCTTTAGTTGTAATATCGCACTATACTTTCTATAGTTTGTTTGAAGTATACATATAGAAATTCAATAAACACTAACCTTTACATAAATTTGTTACAATAACGTGTTTAATTTGTCGAACAGGGACACAAGGCGGTTTGTAAACACAAATAATGCCATTTAAAGTTTTAAATGCTGAAGCTGCATCGCTAATCTTAACCATTATTCTCGTTAAAATATAATTTTTAAAAATTTACTTAAAGAAAACTGTTTATATTATTTTATTTTATTGTTACTTGTTAGTGACAATGACAATATTTCAAAGTTTTAGTGCATTGCATGTCATCCACAGATCATCGATCAAATAGATGTAAGTACTTTTTACATGCTCCAAGGTAAATTAAAAAAATACTGACAATTGTTACAAACGTTATTTAATATGAAATGTTACTGTATTTAATATGAAAGAATAATTCAAATTATCTATATCGACAAAATGGAATTTTATTAGCACACAAATACGCTTTCAACAAATCTTTATTTGATAGAACCTTTGGTGCAATCTCAGATATTTCAAATTCACTCAATTTCATAGCTTTATTAGTATATTTTATAAAATATGATTTTACAATTTTTTTTTTTTTTTTTCTTTTGGTTTACAATATTAAATAAATACACTACAACTTATCCACTCTCACGTACAGGCCGCGCGACTGTTTTCACGTCAACCGTACAGCTACTCGCGCGTCTTTGACCCGCGCGCATCGCGCCCGCTACATCGCAACAATAACCATTATATCTGTTAAAATATATTAACTACAACTATGAAAAAAATACTGCATCATAGGTTGAAGTATATAGATTAAAACACATTTTGTAATAATTGGAAAATGTTAATAAATTAGTACTTAAAACGGGGTAAAACATTTGAGTCTGAGCAAAAATGCTTAAATTTTTTATAGATTTAGGCCTTACGCAAAAAATATAAACGATTTCGAAATAAGAATAATTTTACAAAAAACTAGACTAATTATCCTTTCAAAAGATGCCAAGATGTTTATATTTAATCAACATTGAGTAAGCTAATAAATCAAAACAAAACAACCACTTCTCGTAATTTTACCATAGCCTCTTGAGTCGCGCGCTATGACTTTTTTATGCCAAGATGGCCGCCTATCTAAGGTCTCCCACACACCATGTAGTTTTTTAACTAACTAAAAAATAGGGTATGTTCGATTTGTTTCAATCTTTCTTTTTAAATGAAAAACAGAATAACAGTGTTGTAAATTTTAATGAGACATTTTTTATAAGATTTCGAGTTGTAAATGATAATCCACCGTTTCTCCACTGTTTCCACGTCCCCCGCGGTCTCCACGACTGCCACGGCCATCATCATCATATCATAATCAGGAGACATAAATAAACACATTACACCATGCGTAACAAAAAATTGCAAACATATTTTTCGTTTCTACAAACCCTTATTTATGACGTTTGTTCTAACGTCCGTGGATACCGCACTGTCCATAACGATAAACCTGTGGAACACCTCAATATTATTTGGGAATCTTAAATCATCTTAATGTATTTCTATTTGGAAAAGGCATGAATATGCTTATGAAGGACTCTACATTCATTTTTAACTATTAATTCACTAAACAGACGTAAACAAATCATCAAAATCAGCCAACAACTTCTAAGAAGCCATTTTGCCCTTGACAAAATTATTTTAAAGTTGAAATTAAACTCAATTTAGCATTTAAAACTATATAATCTTATCATAACCGTAAAGTACAAATATTCAAGTTTATTTTGATGTATGATAATTAAAGAAATATAATATAAAACTAAAGTACTTACGACATAATTGCTGAAACTCCGAAACACTTGTTCCCAAAATTCACAAGAACGAGTCAATTGAGTTTGGAATTTTTTTTTACAGAGAACTAATCATATTTCATTGCCATCTGTAGTTTATTGGGTGAACTGTTTCCTAAGCTATCATTCTACGTCGATAAAAACGTTTATTTCTAACCTCAGTTTCAACTAGATGTCATTTTCTTAAACTTGTCGTTTTGGATACTGTAGTATCCATGTACGGATGCCGCCATTATTTTTTTGGATACTGTAGTATCCACGTACGTGAGAGTGGTTATATAACGATTTACTGTAACTTTTATAGTGTGTTTGAATAATAGCAACATTCCATATTTAGGTTACACGATTGCCAATGGACTTTGTATCCGGCTAATAAATAAATTAAAAAAAAAAAAAAAAAGGTTACACGATATATTGTCACTGTCATGACGAAGATAGAATTGACGTTTGCTTTCGCTAGTTTTCGGCGTCAAATAATGGCCGAACGTTAGGCTAGGTCGTTGGCTAGTATAATTTTATAAAAAAACTAGTACTTATTTAGTAACGTTCTTCCTTAACAAAAACATATTGCTGCTAAGTGAGTTTCGTAATAGTTTTGTGAATTGGTTTCTAATCTGAATAGTGAATGTTGACGATTTATGGACGGAACAGTTTGTGATGTGAACACTGAATTCCTATTAATTAAAATGTTATTTGGTAAGTAAAATTGCTTAAAAAACAATGTTTGAAGATATACTTACTTTGTTTATTATTCACTGGTGCTTGAAGCAAATATAATAAATTTATAACATTACCATCGACTTCAATAATTTGCACCATTAGGGATCCTTGTCAATTTTTATTTCATTTTAATATACGTAGATGTCAGGCATCCTGTGCTTATTTTTTATTAATCGTGTTGTATTTCATGTTTGTACCAAAAATATTTCAAAAATGTTGTAGAAATTTTATTTATCTTACAAAAATATGAAAGTCTATTGTTATAATAATACAAATACAGTAAATAAGTGGTTTAAAGTTTTAATACAAGAATATATAAACTTACTGGTTAAATTTGATATTTTACTTCTTAAGGAGAATTTATATAATGTGTTTGAAAAACATAAATAAAAGACAACTCTTCTAATATTATGATGGTACATAGACAACACTATATATTATATATTACTACTGAGATCTGTGTTTATTGGTGTATATTCAATGAAATTTTAATTACTTTTAAATAAAAACTTGTATTAATTTTATTTATTTAAAAAAAATTGTTTTCAAACAAAATATGAAACGAAATAATATTTTAATGAAATTTTTTCAGAATGCTTCACCAGTGATTTTTTTTTTATTTAGAGAAAACCTTATTTATAACACAAATGAGTCAGTTGTGTTCTAATTACATGAGTAGAGATAGAATATAATAATTTATGCATAAATATAGAAAGAGTTCATACTGATTAAATTATTTTCTATATATTTTTCTTTTTGAAACTTGGATAACCAAACAATTGCTGGGTGTTGTCAGAAAACTATATAGATAAATTTAAATAGTATTATTTATATAGTATAGAATAAATTTTAAGGTTAAAGTCAGTCACTTCATTTTAGTTTGGTTTTTATTATGGACACACATTATGTATGATAAAATAATAGTTTCCTAATAACTAATTGCTGATTGTGTTGTCTTGTCTGATCTTATTTTACCTATCATTTAAAGTATAAGAATATAAATATGCCATTATTTATAATGAAATAATTAACAACTACAAAGGCTTCCTTAAAACATACCATATTATAATGTGTTGTATACTTAAAATATAGTGATTAACATAAGTATTGTGGCATTATTTTTTTATGGCTTAATATTTATTTTTTATGTTTTGTTCTGTAAATTGGGCTTGAGGAGAATTATTTTGATGAGATCTTATACATTTATATATATATATATTTATGAGATATCTTATAAGAAGTTTATGATGAAATATTTGCCTATATCTAAAGAGTTATACTAAACAAGAAAAGTAGGTACTAATAAAAAAAGGTGAAATTAGGTGTTATTTTAAGACAACAAGAATAATTTACTAAAGTTTTTCGTAAATTACGTTCGTTCCGTCGAAAGTATAAATTTGATAGATGTAGTTGACATCGCAATACCTTTTAGTGACTGCTCCTATGTATTCAGAATGTACACAAGGTCATTGGTTGATTGGGGAATTAAAGGTCGACCATCAAGGGTGAGCCCTACGTTGACATCATGTTAATCGATTGCTTGACCATGTTTAACCGGTTTTATTGTAGCTGTTGAATAGTAATGGCAGATGTGCTTTTGTGATGAAATTTTGCGTTAGGATAGTGTTCGATTTTTGTCAAAGTAAAGTGTAAATCAAATCGTTATCCACGAATTAATTTATTAGATGCCGAAACCGAAACTGTAAAAATAGATGCGGATTAATTTTTTACGTATTTTGCTTCGTGGCTGGTATATGTAACAAATAGGCAGGAGATGCGACATTTCTTTGCGAAAACTAAGCATTGTTGCGTATTGGAATTTCTATATTGGTATATTTTACTCGGCTCGGGATAGATAAATACTCCAATTGCGCAAGCAAAATGTTTGTTAATGCAAGTAGCATTATTTTTTGAATATTAAAAATTGTCGAAATAATGACTTTCAAAGGAAAACTTTTTATGATATTACTTTAATTATCGTAGGGATCTTTAAAATTATAATTTTGATTGTATACTTCAAATTTTATAAGCTGTTCAAGCAAATATACCAGACTTATCTGTTCTGTATATTTGTATAATATTATGTAAGTTTTTTCATTTAGAAAAGTTATTGTTACACGCATAGTTAATAGTTTTATGTTATCAGGTCAGATTATGGGCACAACCTACTTTATAAATATGTTTTTAAATAAAAATTTCAGTTTCAGTTTAATTTACGTATTTAATATACAGTAGTAAATGATTTTAGCTATAGTTCTATTATTATGCTATAGATTCATCGACGCCTTCTTTACGTCATCCAAAATTTACGCCACAATAATAGATCTTCTTATCAATTAACAAATTAAATGACATTTCAATTTTTATGATACGAATTATACGTTCGTATTGTGTAAGTCTAGACTGAGATAAAAGTTAATAAAAATTACATAAATCCTTGAAACACATTGACAATGGAATGTTTTAGTTGAATTCATAGTTAATAAGTTGTAATTGGTGAAAAATTCACATAATGGTCGCGTTAACGAACCTGACGTAAGCGGCGTGAATGCTTCGTTATCTCTTTGTTCTACTAGGATGAGGTCATTTAGAGTTGACTTTAAATTTGAACATTTCTTTGCCTGT